CAAGATAAATGCGGAGTGTAGAATGCATAATTGCAGTTTTGTAAAGAAGTTTCACAAATGTGCTTTTGGTACAATGATGAACCCCAAATATGACCAACATCGGTGCCACGCTTCTTCGATAGTAGAGCACATTGTAGCCACATTATTGTTTTGAAACGTAAAACTAGTATATGCATCTCTCTGTCTACAGCGTGTAACAAAAGAAAGTAAAATAAAACAACTATTAAGTGAAGGACATAACCTGATGTTTCAGCCGAGTTCGGATATCATCCGTAAAAAGAGACGTACCAATATCATCGGTGTGTGTAATAACGTTCAAATTATTGCAAGTATTCTATGCTTATTACAGTAGGTAATATAAAATAATAGATCACTGACAATCACACAGGTGCTACAATATAAAGGAGCATCGCATTACATTTAAGACATTACCCCATAATATTTTATCTGTCAGAAATACCGTATACATAACTATAATGTGCAAATATTTGCATTCTATTGTGCTCCTGAGTAACCTAATAAATTCTGACAAAAGATATCCATTACAGGAAGCAAAGGAAAGGCATAAAACTACTAATAATCAGCCGTTGTTGATAAGATAGCATTCGTATAAAGTATTTTATTTATTAAAACCAAGCCTAAGAATAGGAGGAAACATACTGCTGATGAGTGTTACAAATTGAATCTAATCGAAGGAAACTATCAATCGGCGGTTTCGTGGGGCAGATATTACAAACTGTTTGGCAGACTTGAGATAAACATATAAGACCATTATCCCTGAGTTTGATATTGATATAAATGTTCTACCACTAATCTCAGACATCAATTCTTGTTCAACACAGCTCACATATCTGGTAAATGGGTAATCGCCAATGGATATATGAAGTGAGAAATCTATAAATGAGTTATTCCAAGTCCAATTAATTTCGAATTCGAAAGAATCAACAGTGGTATTGGGAAAGTCGAACAGTAAAACTTGTGGATTTGTTTGCTTGTTAAAACTACTATAGTACAAGTAGAGATGTTCCAAATGCGGCAAGTCAAAGGATACGGTAGCTAAAGCTCCAGGTCTAAAAGTGACATTTTCCAGCTCCAAATATACGATTTTAGATTGCCTATTGGCCAAACCAGATTCATGAATATCAATTAATGTGTCTTGTATAGTTAAGTAACACAGGCTTCGGTTGTTAGCTATTATATTTTGCATGTCAAACGAAGACCACGTTCCTGCCTTTACAATGCATATTTCTTCTATGATTGAATTATGTAGGTTCCATGTATAATTGTGATCAGTTGTGAGCCTAACCATTAAGTTTGATTGGCCATTTCGAATTTGAATTGCCACCGTGTTCGTAGCGTCGTATTTAACATTTAGGTAAGCTGCACTGTCGATAGCACCCATCTTATTTTGCAATTTAGACTCATTGTGATATTCGTAATAGCTTTGAAGAATTGAAGCAATATTATCAGAACTATAAAATTCAACGTGGGCAAATGATACACGATGAATATATTCTAAAAACATTTTCATAACAGGCTTGCTAAGATGATATTCTCGTAATCGTAAATCCGTGTTGTATAAATTAAGCTGCCGAACCCCAGGGAACTCCTTGATTAATCTTAGAACCACATGATCACAGTATGCTTCAAACCCTTCGATAATTAATTCTTCTACAGCAGAAAATGCGCCATCCTCAAAGACATTGGTTTTTTGGAATAATGGTTTATCTCTCATTCTAGTCATCCTGATATCCAATCTTGAAAAGTTGGGGGATAAGGTTCCGGAAATAATTTTACGGTCACGTTTGTCATCTACTACTTCTTGATCAATAACTAACGTTTCCAATGAATTGAAGCCTTGTAATCCCAAAATATTTTTTCGATTATTCTGGATAGCCCTTCGAGCTAGATAGAACGATGAAAGTGTTTCTCTTAAATGGAAAGCACATTTTAGATAACATCCATATTCTAGCCTATTTGAACTATATGGCGCTTCGAAGTGTTCTAGTTTACCCCAGGTATTGTTGAGTAATAGTACCTTTGTAAAACATGACCACACCCGAAAGTGATGCGCGTGCAGACAAACCCAAGTAACATGAGGACACCTTGAAATAAACTTTTGGAAGATTTCTCTTAATGTGCGAATACTATCATTGTTTACAGTAAAATCAGTTGTGTCTAGAATCACTGTCTTTATCCATAGACCTGGCTGAAATGGAGAATGAAGTATTGTATCTAACATCAAATCATTTCGGCCGAATTTGGTGGTAGTACTTTTGAGGTATATGATGCGGTACATGTCTAAACATTGCTTATTAACATATTTCCATCTTTGATCACCAGACAGTCCTTCTTGGCAAAATATGTTTATCAGAACTTCGTATGGCAAATCCTTAAATCTGTTCATTTTTTCATATAGTAAAAAAAAAAAAAAAAAAAAAAAAAAAAAAAAAAAAAAAAAGAAAAGAAAAGAAAAGAAAAGAAAAATGTGAGATAAATAATACATTTGTTATTTTTTGTTTATTTAAGGGTGATTTTTTATGAGATGACAGCTGTCGAGATGTTCGCAGTCAATAAAAATATACTCTGATGTGCTGCGCATCTTCTGGCATTTTTATGTCATATCCACTCAATCTGCATCCTCTATGATCACTAATAAAATTACTTTCAAAGCGAAGCTCATTTAATCATTCTTTAAACGCTTTGATCGTTTTTATGTAAAGATCTTTTATTTTTCTTTTTTACGGACTCGATTGTATGCTGTCAAAGAAATTGTAGTCTTAAGACGTCCCATACTCCCTTTTTTTCCTTATCTATGATTATTTTTTATATCTGTTTGGTTGGGTTGCGTATAGAATAATATGGGGTGGAAAATATGAGAGGAAAAGCAAATTTGCACTATCTGACTGGTCAAACTCGTAGTTTATTTTATGGCTACATAAATTCACAAACTGATCATGTAAAAGCCTTTACTGATATTATGTGCCTATTTTACCCACCGAGCTTTGGTGTAAACATCTGATTTAAATCAAGCAAAAAACTATGTGCCATTAATTAGATTATTTTCCCCTCGTATTAGATAAGAAGCATCTTATGTAGATAGCCTATCCTTGAATGTAAAGAATTAATTGAATTAATCAAACATCCATCGATGAATCAATGTGTGTACAAGTATTATTGTGTTCTAGTTGGGTTTTCTGATTGTGATGACTTATAAATAATTGTTATGACTATTGTTAACATGTCTATTCGAACTTTGTAAATAACAAAGCCACAACTCACAATGTTTAAAATCTCTGCTCACAGCATATTTTACGGTGACAACCATGTCTATATCATTAGGACAGCCGGATTTGATCATATTGATAAAGGGTTGATTGTACACGTCATGGATGTGATTTTATTTTACTTTTACTATCGTGTAGTTTGACTGTGTGTCAGGCTTTACTTGAATTGCAAAAAGAGAGTTAATCATGGCCAAATTTTATGAAGTCATTGAAAAATAGCCAAAAATAAAGGGGAATGGTGTGAGTGCTTGTAATATGTATGCTGATGTAATATATACATAGTGATCCCAAGGTTGGTTGCTTAGAAAAGGAAATCAAAAAAGTCACTATTTTAGTTTTCAAGTATTATTTGAAATACTTTTAATCCTTTGAAATTTCCATTAAATATTATGCGGCTTCAATCTATTTTAGGCAATAAACTTATTTTTTTTTTTGAATCATTCAAGACTTCGGTACTAGTGAGAGAAATAGACATTGTGGCTCTGCTTAAAGTTGATTTGTTCTGCCTGCCTCTGGTTCGTTTTTCAATCATTATATTTTTAGCCCCTTTCGACCGGTTTCCCGCTATCTATTTTGATGTTTACTTTGTGCTACTGTGGCACACAGAAAGAAAAATCTCTACTGCTTTATAAAATAATCGTTTACTGTTCCGACCAAAATCAGCCCCGTTCATCCGAAAAGAGTAATTATCACACAATTTTAAAAAAAAGATGTCATATACGGTCGCCTAAAGGAAGGTTTTAGTTTTTTTTTTTTTTTTTTTTTTTTTTACAAAAGGCGGTTTCGATTTATCTAAAGGGTGATATTTTCTCAAAAGATTGTTGTCGATATAGCCAGTGTGCTTTTTTGGAATTGTATTATAACTTCATCTTGTTCTTGATATGTTACCTATAGTGCGGTACATTATTGATGGGATAAAAATAGGCGACTTTAATGGTATAACATACCAATAAATACGCTAATTAATTCAAATAAAGGAAGCAAATGATGTCGTTCATCGAATGCGGTTGGGGTTTGGAATATGCTTGGTGTATGGTATAAGAACTTGTCATCACCAGGTGCTGAGAAACAATATGATCGTTGTATTGACCAAATACTTGAAGCATAGGTATTGGTCGGTACTTATCTTTGCGCTAAAGTTATTACTCTGACCTATTTTTTTATTGTTAATACCAAATTCTTATAGCGAAATAACATTGTGCATTAGCTGATCCAGTTAGTTCTTATGTTGTTTTTCTAACATCATGGACAAGCTTAAGCAGTCCGGCTGAGAACAGAGTTTAGTTACACTTTTGCTTATTGAACAACTTGAAGTAGATTTGCAAAAAGTTGGTGTCATAATAAATGGAAACTGTGTACCAGAAGATATTAAATCATAATCTCGTCATCTGCAGTTGTTTTTGACTTTCTACAATATCCAACAATAGAGCATCCTTGGTTTTTCAGATCCATTATATACTGTTAGTATTTTATCGGTTGATTGACTATGTCTTTAATGAGTGCGTCTACAACACGATATTTGATAAGAAAAATAGAATCAGTGGTTTATGTGTAAACCATTGCTTACTTTTTTTTTTTTTTTGGCCTTTAAAACATATATACTGCATATACGAGTCTTATTTGTAGACTAAAAAGCAAGAAATGGCTCATGTCAGGATGATTTAATTGTTAAACTATAAAATAAGCAGCTTGTAGTACTAAAAAAAGTTGAAAAGGAAATGATCAATGGGATTATCTTTAAAATTAGTAAACAAGCCTGTATAATTACAATGAGCTGCTTCAAAATCTTATTATTCACTAATTTAAGTACTGGTTTTATTGCTAATAGCTTGTTGCTGGTGATATTTGTATTTCTTGTGGCAAAAATTTCTTTCCAATAATTCATGTGTCCCCATCCCAGTTTGGAAGATCAACTTTTAACTGCTGCATTTTATTCCCCGCCCTGCGTTCAAAAACCGTCCAAAAAGATTCGATTTTTGTTTTGTTTATTTGCTTTTCTCTTCTTTTTCATTGTTTATGATGTCTACGAGAGTAGCCGATTATTTTTTTGTGGCAGGACTCCATGATAGCCATATTATACCCACATTTGATTCGGCCAAGAAACACCAAAGGATTGCAGATAGTGACGTATCTTATTACCAACAGCAAGAGGCTGCTGTCGCGGGTCAGCACAAGCAAGTGGAGGAAGAGTTACCACCACAGCCACAGCTACAGACACAGCCACCAGAAACAACGATCGATGCCAGCCGAAGACGTGGACAAAGTTTAAGTGTGATACCAACCGAGTCATCCCTTCGATCGACGTTTCCTGAAGTAGCCACGTCAGCCTCTTTGCTCGGTGTGTTAGACCATGTCCAAAGTGTCATTGACAATTTCGACAAGGAAAGAGACACAGCCAGAGATAACGTCATTGCGGTTCACGAACCAACGGGACGTCGTCACACGGAGAAATACAAAGGAACCGAGACAATACCAAACAATAGAACCACTTCCTACCCAACAGAAGCCACCAGACGTTTGTCTGTTCGAGAAGTCAGTGCAAGAAAATGGAGAAGCCCATCTGATCCTAAAATCTGTAATGTTAACTTTACATAAAAAAAAAAAAAAAAAAACTAGACTAACTGTTTATATCTGTAGCTGAAGGGATGAAAAAATCACTCTCGACAAAGCGGATCAAGTCAACAGAAAGTGTACCCAGTATCCCTTTGCAACCAGAGATTGTACCCAATATTTTTGATATTCGGTATACGCCAACTATTTTAATGCGTTATCCCAAAATAAATTATTCGCCTCAAGAACCTTTTCCGGCTTATGCAGCCATGGTAAGACAAGGAAGAAGAAGAAAAAAGAAGGGAGGGACTCATTTTTTTTAATAGTTTTGTTTTCCAAGAGATATATCATTGCATCATGGCGAATCACCTCCACCAGAACAGCTGCATTCATTTGTAAAGTAAAAGAGAAAGGGATTAGAAAAACGAGAGATTCTAAGTAAAAATTATTTGCTAGGCAATGACAGATGAAAATGGAGCGACAGTATACGGAACATGCGTGGTGTTTTACGAAAGATTGGCAGATAGATTAAAGGAGCCTGTTGAAAAGGCAATTAAAGAATGGGTGAAATCGAATATGCCAGTGAGTTCGGTTGAATATGCCCAACACCTAGAAATCAAGATCAACAATGAAAAGATGGAATTAGAAAAGGCTCAAAAGAACGATGAAAATATGTCAAGGATTGGAGTAGAAGAGCGTATAAGAACATGTCAAGAGAACATAGAACTATATAAAGAGCTATTAGAGCCCGTCAAGATGGGAGTATGTAAAGCAGAGGATATCTGGGTACCCAAGAGTATTGGATTATTAGGTAGAATGCCTTGGATTAATCTGTATGGTGATTGGATCAGAATTTTGTTGGATAATATAGTTGGTGTGGGGGGTCATCGCAATGCAAAGCCAACAATTGATATAGAAAGTACAGTGATCAACCTTATTGAAGAGGTACCTTTACCACCTCCTGGTAGATTTGAAATTGGTTTAACAATTAACCGAAAGCCTTTATTCTTTTCTCGACCTCCTATTAATCAAGTGCCTATTCTTAAAAATGTAAGTAAAAGAGTCACTCTCTTTATAAAAAGAAAAAACCTATAAAGACTAAATAATCTATTTTTACATTATAGTTCTCTTTATATCCTGTATTTCGTGCCCTATCACCTCATCTGATTCTTGCTGTGCTAGAAGTGAGTATTATTTTTAAGTTGCTCCTTTTTATTTATTATAAATTAAGCTGATTAAAATACATGAAAGACTCTTTTGGCCGAAGGTAAGGTAGTATTCCTTTCAAAATATACAGGGATGCTTTCACTTGCATGCGAATCATTTCGCTACTTGTTATTCCCATTCTATTGGCAATTTGTCTTTATTCCCGTTCTACCTGAAAGATTATTGACATGTCTACAAGCTCCTGTTCCATACATTATTGGCTTTCCAGGAAATATGACGGATTTAGAAGATCATGCACCGGATGATGTAAGCTTGACTTTCTGTTTGAATATCTTTATAGATTTAGTTAATATGTTTTGTAACATGTAGGTATGTATTGTGAATTTGGATAGTAATTCAATGCATCAAAGCCAAAGGTCGATGCCGATTCCCGACCGACAAAGGCGCAAACTTCAATCAGCTCTTGAACAATATGCCCCATTGCATACCAAATCAAAAATCCCTTACGGTGTACCGCTTCCTGTCCAATGTACATTTCCCAAAGGCAAGATGATTCTAAACTGTAGTCGGTCTAAAACAACAGATGTCTTTATCAGTCCAGCTCAGCGTAATTCAGAGAGCTCGGATGCGACTTCAATCTGGTCTCATTCTGCATCCCTGGTGTCACGGCCTTCAGGCTTCTGGTCCAGTAATGCAAGTACGAGAAGTTCGAACGAATCAAGTACGTCGGCCAGTGCATCAACACCAGCAGCATCAGCATTATCATCAGCCGCAGCCGCAGCAGCCTCATCGGCTGATGGATCTCATAATATACCACAGTTTCCTGGCTCTGCGTTGCTATCAACAAGTGCGGGCAATTATGCTTCTTCTTCTAGTACATCACTGCATAGTCCTCCTATGAGTCCAATTAGGACCACTGCCAGTATACAGTCAATTAAGTCTTCACTTTCTAACTCGTCTCCTAAGCAGCAGCAACGTGTATCACTTCCTACTCCTATTGTGAATGCATCCAACCCAACCAACAGTCCTACCTTGGATCATCAAAACTCTTATCGAAAAGCAACTAGCAGAAGATCAGATCCCTCTCCCAAGCCTGAAGATGTAAGTATAACCCCCTCTCCCTATTTTCTTTTTTCTTTCTTTTACTGAATAGAGAATTAACGAATATACATACATAAAAACAAAAAGAACACACGGACCAAGATTTCAAGCTTCATGTCAAAACCACGAGCTACATTTCATCAAGAACAACAAATAGACAATAATAGTAATAGCATGGTGGGATCCCCCCGTATTTCAATCTCCTCGCCTCGTTTTACCAGCACCACGAATTTCGATCACGGTTATCATAATGAAGTCCCTCGTCGTGTTAAACATATTGAGGGCCATATCATGGCTGAAATATTTACATCCGAACTTGGACGATTTCAAGGATATAGGTGTGTATGTGGCAGACAAGTCTCAGAAGATGATGAAAGTAACAGTAAAAAGCCTAGAATGTTCATGTGTTGCCAAGGTTATTGAAAAAAAAAAAAAAAAAAAAAATTGTGAAATATGGAGACTAATATGTAAAACCTTCTTTATTAGAATGTCACTTGGTAACTCATGACACCTGTACAGATCAAATATTGCATCCATGTTTACCTGCTTGTTTTAATGAGCAAAAAGTGTTGGATTCATTCATCCGAATGTTTGCCTCACTCTTGTATAATTATAGAACTGGATTTGTAGATAATATGGAGGATAAGTCCAGTCCTACCATTTCTGCCAACGACACAAACACTAGAGGCAATTGTTTATACTTTTCTAAGGACAAATTTTTAAAGCATTCTGACAAGGATACTAGAGTAACGTTTGGACAGAATGAAGATTTGAAAAAAAAGCTAACTTTTTTTTTTGGATTCACGTAGGATTTTTTGTCTAGTTTAGGTAATTCACAAATGTTTACACAATTTATTACGGATCGACTCTTGAAATCTAGTCAAGAACCCGAAATCCTGGTATTTGATGAATATATCAAATTGAAATTGAATCGATCCAAATTGAAGTTTGTCAAGGAAGATACACGATTTTTGAATGTAAGTGGATTTTTTTTTTTGTTAGTAAAGGGAAGGCGCTAAATAACAATGTGTATAAATAGGATGAATCATATAGAGTTTCGCAGATTATTTGGGCCACACCTCCACCCGATAATGTTATTATTAGTCAAGGAGAATGTAAACGATTCCCCACAAACCTTCAATTTTATAGCAAGTAATTCTTGGGTTCTTTTTATTTGCATCCCTGAAACGCCACACAAACATATACACACGCACGTTCCTTCTCTTTTTTTTTTTACAAGCAAATACACCCAAACACGCGTACGCACGCACACACCACGCACACTCTCGCAAACGATATATTGTATAAACATTTTCATATAACCTTTTATTCTACACACTTACTAATATTTATTCCCCCCACCCCTTGAACATTTCTATTAAAAAAAAAGGTAATATTCACACAACATAGTGTAGCATTTCTCTAAACAACAAAATTTAATTAATTTCCAGTGTGTAATGCATTTGACAAAGAGGGTTTTGTGTAACATGTTTTATGACTCTAAATTTAGTTATATTATGAAATGCATCATATCTCAAAAGCATTGATGCACTTGCATCCAACTTTTTTTTTTTTTGTACATACAATGAAATAAGATTTTTTTTCTTGTATATAAAGATAACCATTAGGAGAAGGATAAAGAGAGAAGAGCACAAAGAAAGATATGACTTTGCCTACATATTGTAATGGTCGCATAATAAGGGGCGATTTATTAGATAAATATATATTTGTCACGGAGATTGGTTGCCAAAGGGACGTGAACTTCAAAATGATCTACATTGAAGACAGACAGACAGACAAATCCCTTTTTTCGGCATATTTTACAGATTAATGCAGACAAGTATTTTGTTAAGAGAAATAGATTATGATGTTGGTATTAACACAACAAGGGATTACTTTTTTTTTATTTAAGAAAAAGGAGATGAATATCAGGGCAAAGAAGTAAGTTATCGGTAGAGCTGTTTTCATTGTCAACAGGTTGAGAATTTTAGAGTTGGTTTATTTCCAGCACATGTTTAAACATATAATAATAACAAAGGGAGAGATATTACATGAATGTTTTCCTTTTTGTTACTACATATACATCAAAAAAAAAAAAAGTGGACAATAATAAGGGTTTCTTTCCAATATGTATGCAGCCACATCTTTTTTTACCCAAAAGAAAAAAGAAATGCCCCTGCAAAAATTGAAGTTGTATATATTTAGAATACAACTGATATTAACCCCCTTTATATATATCGTGTGTGTGCGTGTGTTGAGATCTCCTTATATGATGCAAAAAAGTCTCTTTTGCCACCCCTTTTTACCCTCAAATGCTCATGTATAAAATAAAAGACTTTTTTGAACTTCTCTAAACATTTTATTTTTTATTTTATTTATTTATATATACACATATTTTTTTTATTATTATTATTATTCTAATGACAAGTAATATTTATCGTTTCAGGTAATGATCAATGCTCAATTGACGTAACTACATATGTATCTAATGCCTTCTTTTTTTTTTTAGAGTTAATATTCAGGATTTACAGTTGCCGGATCTTCTGCTACATATCTTTGTGCAACATGATCAACCTCCTAGATATTTGGATTTACTAAACAAGATTAAGCAGCTCTCCAAAGTAACTATAAAGTTTTTGTGTGTGTTTTTTGACATTAGCCATATTAACTCATTTGTTCACAGACAGAGATACATGATATACATGACTACTACATGATTATCAAAAAAGATCAAGTCTTCAAGTACATCTTCAAAGACGACTTGGGCTTACAGAAAGCCTTTCGATCCATATCAGATCAGGACCAACTGGAGATCAAATTAATGAAGAAAGGCAAGTACATTTCTTTTAATTATCGTTAGCAACCACAACTTCTAACATGTAAATATATAGATTCTGCTAATAAAGTACCGCTTGTAAAGCCGATTTTCACAACAAGGCCTACTGTGAGTTACTCAGAGGAGGAAGAAGAGTTACATAAACGGAGAAAGGATTCTGGTATTTCACTTGATGAAGAAATCGAACAATTTAAAAAGACATCGCGAAAACTACCTGCATTATCCAACATCATTACTACCCAATTATGGCCTCCTCCCCCTACAAATACCACCAGCTTGCCTTCACCGCCCAGTCATTACAATAAGTCACCAATCAAATTACCAGGATTATCCTCTATAATTATTGATCATAGTCATAACAGCCAGAAACAACTTGCTCCTATTCATCCTTACCGCCCTCTTGCTCGATTTGATCACAAGCCCCTATCACCGCCATTATCTGCCCCTTCTTCGCCCATAAACAAGGTGAATCATCATAAAAGAGCTCGAGGAGGTGCTTCCCATCCATCTCAATTTATATGTGAACACGTCATTGATACTATCACAGGTAAAACTTGTTGTCAAGCCTTTCGCAGATCTTATGACCTTTCAAGACATCAGACAATTCATTTAAAAAATCGTCCACTCTGTTATTGTCAAGACTGTGGTAAAAAATTTACTCGATTAGACGCATTGAGAAGACACGAACGCATTCAAGGACATCACAATAATAAATGATTTTTTTTTTAGCTGGTTTTCTAAAAAAAAAAAAGTGTTTTATTTTTATTTTTATTTTACGTGTATGGAGAGTGACTGAGAGTGATTTGTGTGTAAGTGTGTGTTTGTGAGTTGTGTGCGTGTGTGTATATGTTGTCTCTTAACGTCCACCTCTTCCTCTTGCTCCACCACGTCCACCTCTTCCACGTGCCATACCTCTACCACGTCCACGTCCAGCACCTTCACCATCTAAAGAGGAAACAAAAGATTAATATGACAAGACCTTAATGAAGTAAATTATATATTACCATCAGCCTTCTTCTTGGATTTAGGTGAATCGTCAATCAAGAGTGTATCTAACGGCAGACTGTCTGGCAAAATAACACAACGAATAGTGTTACCACGAATACTCAAGGTGTCCAAACTAACAGGATCTCTATTTTTGACAGTCATCTTGACAGTTTTTAAATGTGTGTTCATGCTCATATCGACACCAGTAATGGTACCGTGAACAACTGTACCATTCTTCATTTCGACAGAAACTGTCTCGTTATTTAACTTCATTAAAAATCTAACCAAAAACGTTTTATACCGTCAGTTCTCTCCGAATTATTTCTTTCGCCTTGTTAAAGAACTCTTACCTAACCAACTTCATTTTTGCCTAATGTTTACTTCAATGAGGGGGTAGAAGAAAAAAAAATGTTTGGAAAAATAAACCGCGTAAAAAAGCGTTAAAAGCTAGGACTGCTAAATATTCAACTCAGGCCCTCTTGTTCCCAGAGCTACCTCACTTTGCTTGTACTGTTGACTATGTCCTTTCAAATAGTCTTCTATGCACCCAGTCATGCTTTTATGCATTTAATGAGATTTGAGCCACATCATGCTTAGCCAAAAAAAAGAGAGTTTTTTTTTTCCTATTTTTTGTATGAGAAAAATGCTAAGCTTCAATAGTTGGACCCAATAAAAATCCAGCTCTGCTTTTTCTCTCATTTTGCAAGCAGATTGCCCCCTGGGGTTCAATTTCTTTTTATTCTTTTTTTCCTACTTCAAAAATGACAGATACAACACATAACGACGATATAGACACAACAGCACTCTTTGCAGAAATCGAAAAAGAAAAGCTTGGAGACTATGAGACTTGCAGTGCCTCTGAAACTTTTGACGCTGCTTTTCAATGTTACAGTAAGTGCATTGCTTCGACGTTGCAACAACAACAACAACAACAAAAAAACTCACCTCTTTTCTATTATTATTAAGCTCTCGGTGCACAGGCAATCAATTACTATCGTTATGGTTCAAAGAAAGATTGTGCAGGCAAATGGGAAGATTTCAAATTTTGCTTAAAGACAAAGACAAAATCATCTGAATTAGCCGATGTAAAGAATGACTTGCAGAAAAAGCTAATCAAAATATGCTAACCACACCTATCTTTTGTTTTTTTGACAGGCCATGCTTAGAGAACGCAAGGCGAATAAGGAAGCAGCAAGAATGAGAGGACGTAACTCAGAGGAAGTTTGGGAAGCTAGATAGACTATTGGAGGAGGAAAATTCATGTACAAAATTAAGCTAATATTCAAAATAAAAAACATTATCGACTTTACACATTTCACCTAGACTCTAAAGATACAATTCAAATTTAGAGTGGGAGTACGCAAACTCTTGATTTGTTCAATCTGCCTTTTATTTAAGGTCTCTGTGTCGATAATGCAGTGGATTAGGCTACTTTGCTTTAAGTAAATAAAACCGTCAAATAAACAGGATCTCTCATTTGACGTAATTTGTCAGAATTTACAAACAACAACAACAAAAAAAAGTAGGATATCAATTAAACACTGATAGCTTTTTTTCTTTTCTTTTTCCGTATCCACAAAAAAAAATGTCGTTAATTTCTACACAAGAGAAACGCTATAATCAACAAACTCGGAACGATAGTGAGGATGAATTTGGAGACGACCTAAACACAAGTGATCTTATCCAAGTCGCAACAAGTGTAGAACAAAAATACGCCGCAAAAATTAGCTTTATTCCTGAAGAAGATCCTACACCTCCACCTGCTCTACCCGAAGATACAGAATCATTTCATCCTCTCGATGTGGAGAACTTGCGCACATGGATTTATCCTATAAACTACCCAATACGCGGATACCAGCTCAATATCATACAAAAGGCCTTATTTAACAACACACTGGTGGCATTGCCGACAGGACTTGGTAAGACGTTTATCGCAGCAGTTGTCATGTTTAACTACTGGCGGTGGTATCCAAATTCTAAAATCATATTCATGGCGCCTACACGCCCACTTGTGACACAACAAACCGAGGCATGCTTTACCATTTGTGGATTGCCTTTACAAGATACCGTCGAAATTTCTGGTCAATATGCTCCTGTCAAACGTAGAGACTTATGGAAAAGGAAGCGAGTCTTCTTTTCTACACCTGAAACTGTTTGTAACGATATCAAGAATCAGGCTTGTCCCACTGATAAAATCGTGTGTGTGGTGGTAGATGAAGCACATCGAGCCACCGGGAAATACGCCTATACCCAAGTCATTAGTGAGCTGTCTAAAACAAATAATCATTATCGTGTATTAGCATTGACCGCAACACCCGGCTCAAGCTTAAAAGCTGTGCAGTCTGTGATAAACAATCTAAATATCACAAATATTCAGATTCGTACAGAGGACTCAATAGATGTTCGTGAATACTCGTACAGTAAAAGCATTGAGAGCTTTATTGTTCCCATAACGTATACACAAGGCGCTACGGGTATTCTGCCAAGAATTATCAATGAATATACATCGCAAGTGTATGAACCTATCTTACAACAGCTTTCCAAATCTCCTAATACTGGTATACAACCTGAAGCAGCATTAAATACGAACTATGGAATTCAAAAAAAGAAAAAGACTTTTCAAGTTACTAGTATTGGTATCAACAAGTATCTTAAGTCTCAAATCATTACAAATTTTTTGGTTGCGGAACAGATGAGCCGAGCATATGATTTGTTGTGTCAGTATGGTATTGTCTCTTTTGTCGAACACATGGAAGGGCTTCAAAGAGACAAAAAGGCACAATTCAAATTCTCCAACCATCCATCGATATTGCGTATGCTATTGGTTTTGAAAAAAGAAATGGTAAAACCAGATTTTAGTACTCATCCCAAGATGGATGTACTCGTTCGTATTCTTGTAAGTCATTTCTCGAGTTTGAAACCTGATGAATCATCCAAGGTCATGATCTTTTCTAGTTACCGTTGCTCAGTGTCTGAAATTTGTAAAGCGTTGAATACACACAATCCTTTGATTCGGGCCTCTTCTTTTGTGGGTCAGGCGGTTGGAAACAGTACTTTAAAGGGCCTTAAACAGTCTGAACAACAAGAGGTAAAACAGATAAACAAGAGATATAGAGAACTTTGTATTTATCTTTTGTCGGTGAAAGATCATCCGTAGATTTAAAAGTAACGAATTAAATGTGATTGTTAGTACAAGTATTGGTGAAGAAGGTCTGGATATAGGTGAAGTGGATTTAATTGTATGTTATGATTCCCAATCATCGCCTATCAGAATGGTAAAAAAAAAGGGGGGGGGATAAAAAAAGAACAATAATAAAAAAAACAATATTCTAGTTACAACGTATGGGTCGAACAGGGCGCAAAAGACAAGGAAAATGCATTTTACTATTAACGGAAACAGAACAAAAGAAGTTCAATCAAGCTAAAGATACATATGCGCGTGTTCAAAACCTGATTTCTCGAGGAGAGCGATTGATTTACTATAAACCAAGCACATCCATCTTACCAAGCCATTATAAACCAACACTCCGTCGAAAATACATTCACGTTGGAGAGTATTGCGATTTCTCTTCGGCAAAACCAAGAATGTTATTGGGTACGGAATTGGATGGATTCATAGATGAGGATACCGAAAAAGCATTTGTACAATCATTTTGTAACAGATATGAGCAATATACCGACATTACACAAGTCTTGAAAAATTACTGGCCTAACGAAAGTTTACTCAAGCGGTTGAACTCACAAGTGCCCTTACAATCAAAAATAACGAAGAGTCATCTTGTGGGTCATTCCAAACGAACGTTTGATTTTGTAAATCTAGTTCAAAAAATGGAGGAACGTATACTGCACCCGGGTGAAGATTTAAAGACTATTACCTCACAAGCACTCTTAACCATTCCAGCCAAATCAAAAGCGAGCCCTTCTTCAACATTAAATATTCCCAAGAAAAGGTATCGTTACGATGACAACGTTACTGATCTTGCCAAATTTTACAAGTCAGATGTTTTTATGCCCAGTCAAGAGAATGATTTTGAAACCGTCAGTTTTTTGCAAGATATTGAGGATTATAATTCTGCAGAAAGGTTTATCACATAGTTAAAAGATTAATTTCGTGCAGTCAATTATGTCTCAGTTTTGGTATCGGTTGGGTCAATACCAACCAAACAATTGACATTAATCCGACAAAGTGATTTCTGTCGGGTGGAACAATACCATGCAAAGATTGACAATCGAATTTGCTTAACTTGAATATAGTGGGGGGATGGGTTGACTTTAAATCTTGTAGTAACACATTTTGTGATGTAAGCTGCAAGCAACTATTTAAAGTTATGCAAACATCACGTTCTCCGATGACAATTGTTATTTTTTTTTGTGGAACTTCAAACTTTGTACATTATGCAATTCATCAAATAAACAAACGATGCAAATCGTGGCTAAACAAATAACTTAATTACTGAATGATCTCATGTATCTGAAACTAAAAGCTTAATCTATTATTACTTTTGAGGTCTTTATAAACATTTGTATTTAACGCTTCGGGAATTGTCAGGGTTGATCCTACACTACTCGCACAAAAACACACAAAAACACACACATACACACACATATACACACATATACACACATACACAAAAGGGTAAGGTTTCATAAACGTTACTCGTTGCATATAGCAAATTATTCGATGTATAAGGGAATATTATGAGGAAAGTATATTCTATTTTATTTTATTTTATTATAGAAATAGTAGAAAAACAGCGCTATGTATCTTTTTGTCTAAGTATTTCCCGTATCAGACCTCACAGTAGAGTAAACCAGCGCAATTCGCTACGGCCAAGCATTAGAATTAATTACGCAGAGCAGTCGCGTTGTTCCTGTATTTTTACAGCTTGCATAACCTTTTGAAAAAAATTAGATACGGGTATGCTTAATAAGATATTGTTTTTGTGTACCTACTGTTAAACTGACTTAATGGTCCGGGAATAGAGGTGGTTAAGCTGATATAAAAAACATTTAAAGTGCACCTAAGAAATACGTCCAAATGATAGCCTATAATAGATATGCATGTTTGGATTTCAAAGAACTAAAATAAAGCAATATATGGTTAAAAAATTTGGCATGACAAGTATGGGAGTAAAGCATTACATTTTAGAAAGTTTGAACAAAAAGAAAGAAAAGATATTAAAAAAGCCGAAATAATTGTTTCCTTCTTTTATATTTTCTTCTACACCGGAGGCAACTGATGCTTCGTAATATGCATGAGTGGAATAATACTTAAAAGACTTGATAGTATGTTTGTCAATAAAAATCACGTTAAACCCTAAAAATTGAAAGTCCATTTATACTAGTCAGGTACCAAAGGTCATACACAGTTTCGGTCCCAATTGGAATATCACAAAAAAACATAATATTGAATGAGAGCTCATCTGTGTATATATGATTATTTCACGTTTTTCATCCAGAAATTACTTATTCTAAATATGACTAGACCTACCAACCCCTCTTCAAGATATTCTTCTTTGCCTAACAGAGCAACTAGAAGTCGTAGTAGCTCCGTCTCGTCGGTGACAGACAATATTCAACAAGAAGATATGGTATCTATTGCTCCCATGAATACGTCGCAATTAAGCAGCAGAGATGATTCAGCAACTGTTGGTGCCTTTGTAAAATGTTTTCAGATAACAGGAATTAAAAATGATCTGAACAGTATAAAAAATGAGGTCAAGGAAGCCATCGTTACCGGAGAAATTTTGAGGGCACGACTTGACATGGTGGAAGATAAAATTGACAAAATATTGTCTATTCTTTCCGGTGAAGCTGCTGTTTCTTCAGCTACCCCCGCATTGACTAATGGAAATGTACCTCCTTTCCAAATAGGGGGTGCACTTTACAATAGTTTGTCGGTATGTCACCAAGAATAGAGAACCGTTCATATATCTAATCTACCTTGTAATTATAGGCCTGGATTAAAACGTCCATTGCTAACCAGAAGGTTGGTAATCTGGAGTGGAACCTATCTAAGGCATTTATGACGGTAGAGAACACCCGTATAACTAAAAATATTATCGATTTTGTTGGTGCTCAAATCACATTGTCAACCAAAAAGAACTGGACGGAATCCATTACCTACAACGATCTTCAAAACAAGATCAGAAATGTCTTTCGCCGTAAGCAGGATAACGAAAAGCAATCTCCCGCAGCAAAGCTTTTAAAAAATAAGAAAAGTACAAGAAAGGGAAGAAGAATTTCTGTAAGTTACGAATATGCAAGGCGTTTCCAAGGTTAATATTTAATATAATTGTAGAAATGCAAGCACAGAAAAAACGTGATGGTCAACGAGGAGTATGGCAAAAAAATGAGAGATGCTTATGGTGATGACATAGAGAAGCTCTTGATAGAGCAACTCCAAAGTGACGAGGAAAGCACGGATTCGGAAATAGGGATGACCGAAAAAAACTCACGCTTGCGGGTTATGGTGCCCCATTGGCGCACAAATGAGGTATACAATATGAGTGTATTCCTATTAATAGAATACATACTAAATCAATTCGTCTTTAGGCTCGTCGCGCCTTTCAACATTTCGATGAGTATGATCTCATTTTGAGAAAAAACGCCCAAAAAGAAAAGGAGACAAAGGATACGGGACGTTTCAAGCATGTGGTGATCAAGCCCGAATTTCTAAATCAGGCACCCGACTGGGCCCGAGTTCCTGAATTGTAAATAAACAATTTTTTTCTTCTTTTTTAATCTGCTCCCCCTTTTCCAACAACAATTTTTTACATATTCATAGTGGTTTATTGAAATTAAAAAAGGGCATAGGTGAATTAGCTTAAACATATATTTTTTTTTCTTGAGGAATTATTACAATGCAGCCGTTTTGAATTCGTGGATTACTAGAATTGTCAGAACTACATGCAACCGTGATTGCGTTGTGTATTCTATGTACAGGTAAAATCGAATGAACATTTGTATTTTCATAGCCTTTGCATATTTCCATAGTTTCATTTTCTAAAATGTTGTTACCAGGGTTGACGGGGATAAACCACCGTACGAAAGCGAATGTGTGGGGGGTAACACTGCCGTTAACATTTACGACGTGTTGAAAGAAATATTGTATCTCGCCGTAAAAGCAGGCAACGGACTCCGACGAATGATTGTTTTTAAAGAATGTTTGAATATACGCACCTTTCATCGATCTTGCCATACGGCTTTTGTACATAATATCAGATTGAAATTGTTTGGATATTCTGGCGTCGGCACCAACATAAATTGAAGGAATGTTATTGGAAAGTGAATTACCATGGTTGTTGCATAGATTTGTCGTGGTTAAATGAAAGAGATTGGTGAATGAACGATTTGGGTAGCATAGAGTGTAATATTCAATAAGAAGCATATGGTGTGAAGGATCGAGCGGAGTGGATTTAATTTCATCAAAGTTAGTAGGGATAATATTCGGATGAGAGTATAGCATTTCTGATCCGGTCACCACACCTCCCGAATTGGTATATTCATAGGAAGACAATTTGTAAAAATTAATGCGATCTTGAGGACTGGAGCTTGTGTATAAGGATTGGTTGATAGCGCTGGTGTTGTGGAGAATGTGGGCTTGATCTTTAGAAATGATATTGGTGCTTGTTAATTGTTTAATGAGAGACGAGATATGAATGCTTTCCAAAAAATTTGTCATGTACGAAGTTTGAATTGATCGAAGGTTTCTATTCTCTGTCGACTGCTTTAGGACACCATTCATTCTTTCGAGAGAGAAACAAGAAGTGTTGAATGTACTGCCATAGTATTCAATATTTTCTGACAGGTGGAGGACGTAATGATAGTTAGGTTTGATTGCCTCAGGGCCGAAAAGTACCACATAGTCTTTGCAAAAACAGCGGAAGAGTTCTCGTGCTTCGAATGCCTGGGCTGTAGTAATCGCGGGTTGTACAACAATTCTACAAGCTTGCACAAATTGTAACCAGTTTGCATAATGCTTTTTATGAAATCCATCAACTAATCTATCAGAAACAATCATGTACTTTAAGACATATTCGGAATAGTGCAAGGTCCAGATTTCGAATTCGATGCCCTTCATATAAGAAAAACCTCCTTTTATTTTGGCATGTATAGAGCTGCAACCGTTGGGCGTGATGATACTTGAAGCGAGTGCGGCCATACTGGAACATTTTTACACAAGGTTAGTAATGACATTTGCGTATATATAGTGTCATAAATTTATAATACCTCTGATAGTGTTGTGGTTTAAAAAATCCAAATTCTTCATACTTTGACATAATTGATTTTGCAAGACCCAGCCAAATGCAATGTAAATGATCCTGGGTGGTAGCTTTTACAAGATCAAGGTACCTCAAACTCCTTAAAACGCTATATCTCATACCGTGGGCCCTGTCTTGGCGATGTCTTTCGGCGTTATTATGGCTATTTAACCACTTGTCGGATTGAATGTCATTCAGCTTCTTATTGGCGTTTGCAGGATAATGCACAGCATCAAAGCCGGAATAATCCAAATTAGATGTGTCAGGAAAAACTTTAAACGATCTATCACATCGGAAACATGATCGCGTAGAAGAAAATCCAGTAAATCCGCTCAATTTTCGTTGCATGGGTAAATCGCACAAGATTTGATACAAACAGGCTCTGACAGTAGCACCGTAATCTTGGCCATGTTTTCCAGAGTTGAATGTAGACATTTGAACACCAAAATACAAGGAGCGAAGTTGGTTTGTAACAATGGATAATAGGCGTTGTGTTTGACAAGTGTTGGGTTCATGCGGTCCTTCGATTAATGCAAGCAGTATCGTGTTTTCTTTCTTTATGCGTTCCTCGACTGGTAAATTATTTACTTGCAGATAAAAAGCGACGCAAGAAGCGGAGGTAGTATCATATGGTTGGAATCCATCTATGTTTAACTGGGTTGTAAGTATATCTCGTCTTTACCTTTTTTTTTTTTTTTTTTTTTTTTTTTTTTTTGTATTCTAACCTGCATTCAATGTCAAACATAAAGATCTACTGCTGTTTACAAAAGGGTCGCCACTGGGAGAAAGAATGCTTCTCCACATTTTTCCCTGGGAGCAATGGTACATCATATCAGTTGGGTTTACAGCCTCTTCAAAACTACGCCATTCTTCACACTTCTCCTCGAATCCTTCTCTCAGATACAACTTTTGGATCGAACTTATAAGACAATGGTATACAAACTTTTTGATTGGAGTATCGGAACCGTTTTGAAATAATGGGGTTTGACAAGGTACTTTTTTGAGGATATTGATAAATGTACATATTTGTGGAGGCCCAGGCTGTGTTAACCCGTTGCTTGTAGCATAAAGATAAACTGAATAGCATTTAGGACAAGTTGCGTAGACAGTCATATCTTTGGTAAGATCGATAAATCCAGTTTGAAGCTTGATCGTGGGTAACGATTTTGGAAACTCAAAATTGCTGAATAGCATACGGAACAGATCAAGTAATTTGTGTGTAGCGATGATAGTCAAGAAGTCCATTTGGAATATAAGTACAAAACAACAAATAAACAAGTAAGTGGGATCTTGTGGTATTCTGGGATGATTATTTTGTTGGACTACGATTGTTTCAATAAAGTTGCAAATATTTATTCCGAAATTCAAGCCTACCTTTTTTTATGATAAATTTTTCACCTTGATCATCCAAATCATCTAGCATTTTGAGAACTTCATCGGTCCAATATATCTCACTGCTGCTTTCGACAATAACCTGATTTTCATTATCATCATTTGCATCAATGCTATAGGATTGATCAAAGATAAAGCCTTCTTCATAATCGCGCTCATCATCTTGAAACATTACTCAGCATCATGTTATAAATCATTTTTTTGTATGCATACCTGAAGAGCATTCATCCTGAAAATGGTTATCAACTTGAGTCGAACTGATATTAACATGTGCAAACTCTGCTTCAATAACAGATACGTTCAAACGTGAAAATTCTAAGCTGGTGTCTACTACGGCGTCATCTATTAAAATTTCTGTTAGTATAGATTACAGTTTGTTGTAGGTAAATATCTGATGAGGGTTACACACTTTCTTCTAGTTCATCCAAACTTCTTTTGGAAGCTGCCGCCTTTTGGCATGACTCCTCGTACATTTTTTTTTCGGCATGTCGTGTAGCAGTATTGATTGGAACTGAGCAACCGCCACACTTGTTGCAATGGCAAATCTTGGTCCTTTTTTTTGTAGAAGACATTATGATAGATGATGGAATTTGTACCCGGTTTTTTTACTTTATATACAGGGCAACAAAGACGTGCCCAATATACCAATAGAAAATTTACTGACACATGGTCACACTAAGTCGGATTAGTTGTCAATGCAACTGTTTGAAAGGCTGAGAGTGGTACACAACTCCCATCGCACCTCTTTTTTTTTCATGTATGATGAAACGACAGAAGAAATAATGTCACACGACATTTTTGATGCATCATAACGACGTTTTCGCTTTAAAAATTACTTTCTATGTCCAATCGTATTAGGCATTATTTGTACATTTTATTTAGCTCAAGCAGATATGCTTTATTGTGCAACCTGAAAAATAATCATAGGATACTATTACATATAACATATTCTTTTTATGCTTTAATGCTAATCTTGAAGCAATAAAAACTACTTTTACAGATAAAAAAATGGAGTGTAAATGTATGCTCTATAAAATACACAATATCCATCAGGTATAAAATAATTCAACCAAAGTTTTTTTGTTTGTATTTTTTGTGAGAAACTTTATCTTGGTTTTTTTTTATTATTGCACGTTCTACTTATTGTTCTGTGAGTATATCAAGCTCTGATGAATTGAGCAATGTTCAGATTTTATCTTTAATGATAACTGATATCAAAAATCTTTGGAACATTTCATAAATATTCAACAATGTCGCATCTTTTGGGAAACACATGACATACATTGCTGCATTAATTACGTACTCAAGCAACATAAACCCACCATTTGTTTTTCAGGAGCTGATATAATTGGCTTTGGACGGTGAGTCAAATAAACTTGTCGGTATTGTTCTTTTTAAACAAAAACGATGCTATTCCGGCATATTGGTTATATCACGAATTTGCGTTTTTAACACTGTGTATGATTGACCCCGAAATGTCTGAAATCGTCGTTGACACTATGGACTTTTGGCCTTCTATTGATTGTAGTGTTGTCGATAGTAAATATAAGGACGAAAGAGCTACCAAAGGCAAGGGCTTAATCAAAGTCAAAAACATGAATAGAAGCAGCGCTGAGAGTAAAGAGAAGGGCGGTAATGCTGAACCTTATCTTGAAAAATCAATAGATAAGGGTAAAATAAAAGAAAATGAGGAGTTTGACGAGTTTGATAGTTTCGATATCGATGCAAGGGCTTGGGAGCAGATGTGGACAGATACTATGGGTAACAATGATGTTAAACCAGATTCAAAAATGACACTGAAAGAAGACATTCGTGATAACAAAAGTATACTGAATGATGATATTACCTCGAAAAGGAATATTTCACTTGATAAAGGAATTGCACTGGAAAATGAAAAGTTATTAAAATCGCACGTTACTATGAACAAAGAAACCTCTCAGCAATCAAATTCAACTCTATCTTTAAAACATGACAAAGAAAAAATCGATGCCAAGGTTCAGGGAAATAAATCAGTTACTGTACTTGACATGGATGCAATCTATAGTTCACAAAATGATGAAGATGATTTTGGTTTCGACGATTTTCCGTTAGATGAGCTACTTTTAGAGGAGGCAAAAGATAGGTAAGCAAATCAAACACTGGTGTTAATCATATACATATATATTCTTTTTTTTGTTTGGGAAATTGTGGACTTGATTTTAATATTAAAATATCCTTCTTTAAAGTGCATTTAAGTTTAGTGCAAAAGCATTAGAACTTTTGGATAAAAGACAAAATGCTATCAAACGAGCAACAGGAAAGTTTGTACCAATGAGTGTTATTTCGAAATATAACTAGGGTTTGTCACCACTATAGATTTCAGTCATACACACCTCATATTTAGCAAGCATATCTATATTAAAAAGAAATATACTATACAAATAAAGAATAATTCTCACAACAACACTTCCTCCCATAATAATTTTTTACCCAATGGAGTAACTATAATGGTCTATCTTGAACTTTTATTTCGTTCATCACAGCAGTAATTTATTTTTTTGTAGGGTACAGTACTTATTATACTCTTGTAACGCTTTAAGGCTATCATTACACTTGCTCTAGGTATTTGCTCTTAGTGGACTTCTGAAACAACAAGCATTGGTACTGACTCTTTTACTTACTAGTAAACCCTCGTGCACTATTTCAGAAAATATTAGAGGAATTTCATTTGAAACATAATGAATTTTGGGATCCTTTTGTTTTGATCGTAATTAAGATTAGAAACTACGTTTGCTACTTAGTGCTGTTGTAGTGTTTCACTTTTAATTAAAACTAAACTATACTTCGGGGGTTATCCTGTGATAGTGTGTTGCTATCAAATTTTGTTCGTTTCAATAATCGCAATTTTTAATACATTAGAAGTTGTATCATAAAGTTTGATAGCTCAATTTTGTAAGTCAGCTAAAGCGTTTTTTATATTAGACGGCATTTTATTGTGATAGATTTCTAAACTTGACCGTATTCTAGTGATTAACTAAGGGTTATTTTGCAAAATATGTAGAAGATTATTCTCGGTATAGGAAATTCTTGGCACTTGTTTTCAAAACAACTGCTTTTCCCATAGCCTCTGAATTTTATATCCTTTTTTTGATATTCCAAGTAGATTGAATGACATTTACACATTTAATGACGACATGTAACAACGAAGTTATTCATGACAAGACTTCTTTTGCAGAGAAACACTTTAATTACCATACGTAAATGATAAATGGTGCCACTTGGCCGATGGCTTCTCTCAACCATTTGATATTAGTTACATTGCTGTATTAAACGAGCATTTAAGATAATACATATAAATGCTTATCCGAAAACTATCCGGTAATATATCCTTTGTTTCAACAAAAGCCTTTTGCTAAATTGAAAGATGCATTATGGAAACATGTGAAGCGAGCCTTAGAAAATACACATGAAAGAAGGTATCCAGGTCACCAAAAATGCGATCTCATGGTGAGCAAGTATAACCAAGTGCTCATCATGAAACTACGTTGTATCGGTATACATAATATGCTCGTTATCGATCTACGTGGCATTTATCACGAATCACGCAATGCCAAATCTCGGTCAACCGATAATATATCTGGTAAAAACTGCTACGTTTTAAGGGGGTTCAAGATCGTCAAAAAAATAAGTAGTCAGTTTCAAAAAAAATTAATTGAGCACATGTGGCAGCTACAAAGGAGGCGAATTTAAATTTCTTACTCAATTTTACGCTACAAATTGGGCTGAATAATGAATACTTAAACGTTAGGTACTATGTCCGTCATGGAAGAGTATTACCACCATAATATTAAAAATGTTAGACATAATATCTGCTGGGAAAGAGGAACGAAATCTTCCAGATGCCACAAAATTTATACCTCCAAATATGTATGCTAAAGCGGTAATGATCTCCTCGCATGGAAATTGTAAAGTATTTAAGCCCGAAGTAGTGAAAGTCTTGTACCATGCTTAAAAGTACTTTACTTAACGTGACAGTAGTTTTGTTTGAATATTCTGGGAGTTGTACTTCATTATAGAGTAAAGACAGAAGAAATCAGATATATAGAAACAAGTCATTACCGCATCTACCGACAGGCATCGTAATCAAACTGGGCGAGAATACACTTAAAACCTCGCTGAGAGCACTGCAGCAACCCAAGCAGTACTGGTTTAGTTTAGCGTAGTACTTTAAAACATCAATGTTAATAACTAATCAATATACAAATTATGAAATTTGTGTGATACAAGTTGTAAGGGTTATACGGTTACACGGCTGCTTAGAGATTTCGATGGACTTTTGAAAAAAAAATTGGCTTGTTTTTTAACACTTAATAAACTCACGTCAGTTCGTAATGGAATCATAGCTAGTATATGTGCATTTAAATTTAGAACAAACACTCTATCAGTAAACACACATATACAGTTCGCAGATGACACATTCAGTTATTTTTTTATACTATTTGTCTCAGTGCCTAATATGGACAGCAGGAAAACATTAAGGGAAACTGTATCAGCAATGGAACATCCTAAGTTTACAGATTTCGGGATAATTAACGAGCAATTTAATAGTATATTGCTCGTGCTCTAGAGGCCAAAAATACTTTATCATATGGGATGGGGTGCCAGCTACTATATAATTTATAAATTAGTTTCAAATCTCAAATATTTAGAGGGCCCGTTTTGGGGCTAATTTAGGGTGTACGTAGCTTCTTGGCTTTATAAAGTTCCCTCCTTTTTTCATTTCGTAGCTTTTTCCTTCCCTTCTTTTTTTTTCTCTTTCTCTCTCTCTCTTTTATATATTCACATTCAAAAATGCCTTTAACAATGATTATAAAAATAGCAAGTTATGTGTATATAATTTCAATGATGCTTGATCGAGAGGAAATGATCAATAAAACTGCACAATTCCTGTCAATGGTTATTGTACCTGTTGATAAAAAAAATATAATGGCACATATGGCGAGGAGCTTTGTGCTTTTAATTCGATTTGTGGTGCTTTTTACTATTTTAAGTGGGAATGCAATTTATAAAGCCTTTAAAAAATCAGCCTGTCGCGAAAAAATATCACACAAGAAAAAACCTGGTGTTATTATTCAAGCTGCAATCGATAATACGCCAATGCATTCCTCTGCAGATACATTACCAGTGACTAAAAAAGATGCGGGACCAATGACGGCAGTATTACCTATTAATAACCTAATTGATCAATCATTCGAACCGGATAGCACTCAATTATTATCATCTAATCAATTAGACAAATCAATCGACGACACAATTACAACAAATGCTGTAACACCCATATTGGCTCAAGATCAACTGATAAACGATGTAAAATTACATGTGATACCACTGCCTACAATGCAAACCAAAGATATTGTACAACAACCGGAGGAAGCCATTCCGCTAATTCAAGATGAACACATATCTTCTACTGCTGCTACAAGTACTACCATCACACCACCTGTTGAATCAAGTGACTCCAAGGAACAATTCTATTCTGATTTAGTCAAAAAAGACAGTAATATTATGTCATTATCTGATAATCTTCAACGCATATTTGATGAACCCGCAACCCCTCTTCCATTACAAAAATCTGATGTCATTCACAGTCGACCTATTTCTGTACAACATAGCCTCGAAGAAATGAACACCACTACAACCCCTGCGCTTACACCACCTCACCTAAGCTCTGCTTCATCCCGACGAAGTAGTGTTACAACTATGGGCGGAAAACTTCATACAGCAGTTCAAAGGATTTCAAGAATCGGCTCTCGACATTCACAAACTGAGCCCTCACAACAACAACAAACAATTGATCCAAGTACTTCCCCTTCTATAAAAAAACGAAACAGATTCTCTACATTGAGTAGATTAGGTCGGAAAAAGAGCACTATCAGTACCTTATCTGACCACGACAATCACAATCAGAAACCAGAAATACCATCTGTCCAAGTTCCAAAAAAATCTCGCGGCCTCAGAAACACAATCAAAAGGACTGGTAAAAAACTGACTAGTCTCTTAACTCCAAATCGTACATAAACAAACAAAACAAAACAAAAAAAAAAGCTGCTGCATTTACATATTACTATTTAATCTTCTTACCCCCTTTTTGCTATTTATCTATCTAAATTAAAATATCTTAACTTTCGGATTTTCTCCGAGGATTTCCTCTTTGCTCTCTCGCTCTAAAAGTAGTGTTAAACGCTAAATATTATAAATTTTGATATTTGATACCAGTAGCTCATTGTTATTGTAACACAAGCATTTACCATTAGGTCCCAGTTTGATGCCAAGCTCGAACGTAATTATACTGGTCACCACAAAAATTTCCCCTTTTTCTTAAAATAATAAATGATAGCTTATTAACCGGTATTTTTGCATATATCCTCAATTCCCATAAAGTATGTATTGTGCATACATTTATCTGCTTTTTAATATTAAATACTTAGCATTGCTAGACCTGACAAATGCATTGTATGTAGCTAACATATGTGCATACTTTCAAAATTTCGGCTCATCTAGCCTTCAAAGAAATTACTTTGGCTATTTGGACAATGAAAACCCGTCTTTTCTTTTATGATCGACAAAGAAAAATATAGGCCCTGGCCCCTTTAGTAAAAGCTTATTTTATGGCTTAAAGCAATTTTTAATTATAGTAAATTCATCACAATAAAACAGGTGCTTACTATCTTTTTTTTTTTTTTTTTTTTTTTTTTTTGCTATTTTGCATCATTGACTTTTAGGCGTAGACATTATGCTTATGTGATTGACCATTGGCTTAAAATATTATCGGTAACTCAAATATCTATCGAGAAATGATTTGTGGCATGAGCTTCTAAATAGATTTTACAATACAAGTTGAGTTCATTAATCTATATTGTAGTCCGTACTTTTCTACTCCTGCTGTTTGATATGTACATATACATATCATGTCTCCAGTCAAGATCTAAAAAGACGCAAAGAAGTTACAGGTATTAGCATACTTAATATACTATACATTTTCTGACTTCATTAGCCGCCATCGCTAACATCACGTATAGCACGATATGTTAATTGTGACCTCCTATTCGATTAATTTTATTTATCTGCTTTATTCTTCCTGTTGGCCAAACGTGTAAAACGTTTTTAGCGAAACCTTATATTACAAGTTTTGAGAAGAAGAAAAAAGAAAGAGAGCGCGTTTGTTTTCATTTTCAATAAATTAACAAACAGCTAATGTTCGTAGACCGAGTTTTGTACCATTAGTAATCGTTAGCTGTCAGTTTTAAGGATCCGATAAACATACTCGAATTACGGCTCCACTAAATCTACAAAATCTTTAAGTTGAAACTTACTACCAGACAGGATCGAAAGGCCACCTTGGTTTTCTAGCTCTTTTTGAACTAAATAAATACATAAAACAATATTAAAATTAGTTGTTTTTCATGAACAAATAGAGTCTAGACCGCACAAAGATTCGATGCATTGATATTTTTTTTACTGGCATTCATGGACGCATTTGAGTTGCCGGCAACTTCGAATTTTTCCTGAATGTGTAATCTTGTAACAAGGAAAGTAAGATTGGAAACACTTTATTCATACATTTCTGTAAATTAAAATCTTTTCTAAGCTACCACTTGATCGGTTGTTATTTATCTGTTCTCTTAAAAAAGATATCAGACAGAAAAATGTAAAAAAAAGTGATAAAATGCTACTTTTACCCTCCCTTGAAACCTCAGGGGAATGAGGGTACTATTAGACATGGATGACGATTTTTGCTTGCGTATTAATCTCTTGAATATAATATGTGCCATATAATGTTAAGATAATTCTAATTCCTATGGTATATCTAAAAGCTGTCTTGTAAGGGTTCAGCGAATTGGCATGGGAACGGTAACGTTGGTATCATAAACAAGTATACATACACTAGGCATCTGCATAAAATGCATAGAATTAACACTGTTTTTGTTTATGGAGAAAGAAATTCTCGAAGTTTTAGCTGTACTTTTCAAGCGATATATCGTCATACTAAGCTGTAAGCGCGAATGAAGATACGGAGTTATGCGGCCTGTAAACAAAATATTGTTATATGATCATGTGGCACATCTTACATCAATAGTAGTGGAGCATATTCATGATAGCCCAGTTGCAGAACTACTGTCATTTGTTTGGAAAACATTATGCCAAAGTGTTACACGATACTGGTAATTGTCGCACAAAACTTCTCAAGATGTCTTGTATAAAAAAAGATTTCTAATAAAACACTTTCGTCTTTGTCAATCTATAAATGCTTTTGATTACTCAATTATTAATACTAGTGATACTATTTCATGTAAACCATGTCTCTAGTGGAATGATTTATTGGTATGCAAAAGAATACAGCAGCGATGTCCAACAATTTTCAAATTTTCACACTGAAGGAAATGTAAATAACTGTGGTAAGTTTTCCTTAATTCTTTTGTTTTATAGCGGGTTTAACTTTTTCTTCTTCTTTCAAATAGGACAGATTGGTGATATTTTAGACATTGTTTCGATAAGGTACTCTCCCAGTGTCCTCACAGTTGGTTCCAGTTTTATGCTAGATGCTTCTGGAGAGCTTTTTGAAGAATTGTTTGATGGCGCATATGTCCAAGTGGTTTTAAAATACGATAGAACAATTATGGTATCAAGATCAGACAATATATGCCAGCAACTTGAAAGAAAAGACGGAAATAACATTAAGTGCACCATTAAAAAGGGTGTGATAAAGGTAATGTATGGTTAAGACTTACTTTAATCTTACTTATACAGCTTTTAATTAGGTTTCTCAGAAATTCAATATTCCGAAAACGACGCCTCCAGTTTGTATATTTCTTTTGTAAAAACCTAATTTTTTTTCTGATCAAAACTTTTAAATAGGGACGGTATGATTTAACCTTGATTGGATATAATGGTGACGGTTCGCCGATTGGGTGTCTTAATGCTAATGTTCTGATCAATCCGTAAAAATATTGGACCAACTATAAATTAAAAATAAAAATGATATCACATTCATGTAGTATGATGGTTTAACGTTAGTGGGTCTTACTGATAATAGCAACAAAGTTTTCTGGCAAACATAACCCAGATAAGGTTATCTTACTTCATATTAGACAGATTTTTTATCGGAATACAGTTTCTATAAGCATTGTATGTATTTCATTGCTAATTATATACAAAATATATATTTGATATCATCATGAACAGTCTCAAGTTTCATGTTTTTGGATTTAATTACTAAAGTAACAGCAGTACACGTGAGATATTTATTTATGTATGGTCATCGTACAAACAATTGAAGTGGGTTGTATATTCTATGATTAGTCACAGATCATTCATTTTGTTCAAACATCTGTAAGAGTCTGTTGGAAGGATGAACACGGAAGTCAACCATGACCTGAAGGCATGCCAAACGTTTTTCGTCGGCTGTGTAAGCATGAACCAAAACAGAAAATTTGGCCTGCAAGTGACATATTAGTAAACACGGGAATCTTTTTGAAACACGTTATAAAACTTACTTTAGGAACCTCTTTAGGTAATGTCACTTTTTGTGTAAGCTACAATGATAAATCTCGTTAATTTAGTTTTCTTAAAAAATGTACAACCTCGATTGACTTATGCTTACCGTAAGATAACCATCTTTAATAGGGCATTGTAGCTCAACCTCGTCCTTCTTTTTCTCCAATTCTTCACAAATATCAAAGGTTTTATGTAACAACTTAACAACTCCAAGTTTAACTGTAACATCTGCAGATGCACCAGGTATAACAGGTTCGTCCAAAGTTCCTGACGCTTCGATAGTCAATTCACCGCCAGCAGTAACGATTTCAGGGGAGATTTTAACACTGTGAATGTGTAATACGAAATCACTGGAACCTTTTTATCATTGTATAATCAGTAAACCAATAGAAAAGAATAAAAGTGATCATTTACTCACTGCAATCGGTGATATGCACGTTGGATGCTCTTGATCCAGAAAGTTGATATGAAGAAGAGTATGAATGACTTGGCCAGTAGATCAAGCTAGCAGAGATACCATTGATAATTATAAAAATAATGGTGGAAAGTGCCCAGTTAGAAGACTTCATCGTTTTTTTTTTTTTTTTTTGTAGATAAAGAATAAAGAAAAAGAAATTTTAAAGGATCCGGATCGTATTTATATCCGGAAATTACGTCAAGTGTTTGATGAACTGGGATTTTTAAAAAAAAAAAAAAAAAACCGTGTTTCATGTGCCGACTTGTGACATCAAAATACGATTACCCACTTGAGCGTGTATTTCGATGCTCTTTTCCTCATAAAAATAATTTATTAACATGGACGATCCCAATGCTGACACAGAATGGTAGGCTAAAGATTGTATGACAAGAAGAATAAAGAAACTTATATAAAAATCAGGAACGATATTTTACGTTCTAAAGGCATCCTCCCTCCTAAGGATGAAGAAAAAGACGACAGAATGGAAGATGCTTTTGTTGACATGGTTAGAGCAAGACAGGATAGATTAGACAGTCTTGAAAACAAGGATCTTGATGAACTTGACGAACTAGAAGATCTCGAGGACGATCAGATTTTAAACCAATATAGGTATATACATAGATGACCTCAACTTGTGACATGTTGTAAACTTTATTGTCAAATAGACATCAGCGCATGATGGAAATGCACGCTTTAGCTGCAAAGGAGAAATATGGTGAAGTTTACGAAATCTCAAAGCCTGACTTTATTAGAGAAGTTACAGAAGCCAGCAAGGATTGCCATGTCGTGGTCCATTTATACAAGGATTAGTAAGGTTTTATCGGATATAGCTACTCATATAAGCCTGACAATCCAATTTTAGTATCCCAGCCTCCAAACTGATGACTCGCTGCTTAACCGAATTGGCATCACAATTTAAAGCAACCAAATTTGTTAGGATTGCAAGTGACCAATGTATCCCCAACTTCCCCGATCATAATGTCCCTACTATTTTGATCTATGGCGATGGTGATATCAAAGCAAATTTGGCTGGTGCTATCCAATTCGGTGGAATGAAAATGACTGCAAAGAGTAAGTTATATAGATTTCATTATAGAAAGGGTGTTTATTAATAATCGTAACAGGCCTTCGTGCTTTGTTTTCCCAATATGGCGCGGTTCCTCCTGAAAAGGTTATTGATGAAGACGAAAAAAATGCACAGCCCAAGAAGACGATTTATCAATCAAGGGCAACTGCTGCTCTTAGTAGTGATGAAGAAAGCGATGACGATGATAGAGGCTATTACTAAAACTGCATAATAAAGTACTGTATAAATTATAAAAATAGTTGTCATGTAACTGTTAAAGCAATTAGTACAGAATTACTGTTCCCTTGAGGCACTTTTTGGTTTGGTCCTTTATCTGAACAAGCAAAGCCCATATCCAAACAATAGAGATTTTTCCGCAATTACGTAGGTTAATGTACTTGGTTTTTTTTAAAAAAAAAAATCGAGTCAAAATATTATCTGCTTGATAAAGAGCTCCTTGTTTCTGACAAATACTCGTCGATGGGACTAAAGAATGTAAACAAGCTCTATTAACGGACGGTCAGGGTGCGCGTAGTCGTTATATATGATCAGATACGTTAGCTGGCATTAAGAGGTCAAGATGACTTTTAGTCTTACATTATATGTAAGTTCATTACGATAAACATATATTGATACTGTTCGTATATTTTAGCTTACTTCCGCCGTCTCGTTTGGACTTTCTCCTACTTTTCTCCCCAAGGTCAAGAGCAAATTTGAATTGTCAGAAGTATAAGCCAGTCACTCGCAACTATCTCATTGATTTTTATTGTATATATATATTTGCTTCTTATAGGCGTTTGAGATACCTGATTTTACGCTATGGCTACCTGTCCTTTGGCAGTCCATAAAAAAGGGATGTTCGATTTACGGAAATTATTATGTACGTTTTATATAAACATGATGAGAGGAGTAAATACTTATTGAGATAACCGTAGAATACACTATCCATAATTTTTATTTAATTCCATAAACCTTTGGTTATCTCCATGTTCCCCTTTTAAAATTCATCAAAGTGTTTGGAACATGTTGAACAATTACTTTATCAATCGATATGTTCAGCAAAGATATAAAGATCATTGATTTTAATCATTGGCGTTAAAGAAACGTTTGCAATTTTGGACCATGTCTTCTTCTTCAACTACCGTAAATCCAAGTCTTTCATCCGCCAATCTGTCATAAACCTTCATTTGTTCTTCAAGTGTCGACTGAAACTAATGTAAACTAAGAATCGTACTTGAAATATACATTGTATGTGCTTTACTTACATAAATGGCAGCGGTGACCTAAGAGCCGTGGTCAATATTAAAGAGCTGACAGATCAAGGATAAATATTGAGTCTGAAAGCTGGTTACTCATAAAACATAGTTGGGACATAAAATGTAACATGATCATGACAGAGCCCTTTTGTTGGCGTGTGAAGCTGGTACGAATGGCCACCCTTATTAATCACAAATGATGTCTCCTTGGTCTTTTTCGGTGTGGACTGTGCCTAGTAAAAAATGAATCAAAAGCAATCTCTTTTTAACAAGTTTGAAAAATCATACAATCGCGGCTTCATCTTAAGGTGGGTCATCTTGACTTTCTTTTTTAGCAAAAAGCTAGAAAACATAATATGATTAACTAGTATTGATAAATCACCTATACTAGACATTATTTGATCCAAAGCTCTTTTTCTCAGATTGTTTGCCCCCACACTAACAAATGCAGCACCAACGGCTTCACCATGAATTTTAGCAAGAACCTCTTGCCTTTTTGATTCTGCTTTGGCTGCCGTTTGTCGATAACATACTTTGACTTTGTTGATGACGACTTCTCGCAGAATTATGCCCCTCCTCTTGGCAGGAACTACATTTACTGCTGGAGAATGATGCTGCTTGGCGACTTCTTTTTGTACTCTTTTTTGCTATTATTACATTAGGAGAGTCTTTTCTCTTGGTAGCTTTAAATACAAAACTTAGCTTGTGATATCTTGGAAATGTATAATAAGCGTTCTTTTCTCTTACATGTTCTCTTAGGGGTTTGAGTGGTTAAGCTTTCCTTCGCACTATCATATTTGACCTTTTCCAGCTTTGCAAGTTTCTTGAGGACCTCGGGGTAAATTAGTGTACGTGACCTTAGTTAATTGAAAAAGAAGTAAAAAGAGTTCAAGACAACTTTTTTTCAATCAAGTTCAAATAACGTACCACAAAGCTTGAACCTGATAAATTTTTTAAATTGCGATGCTGACCTACATTACTAAACGAATGAGAACCTGTGTCCTGCAATTTTTTTTTATTGGAGCAATCTAATTTCTCTGGCTGTAATGAAAGGAGCAGAGATGTTCCTATTGAACATTTACAATGTTCCATAAATATCTTCCCTAGATACTTGAATAAGAGAGTTATAATTGTTTTAGCCAAAATTGGGTCAAAGTGTTTGTAAATAGTAGGCAACTTTTTTTTTTGGAAGGTAGATATTTAGATCGATTGAGGATTTCTCTAAAAGTTTTTCTTATTCTATGTGAATGTATACATATATTTACGCCAGTCTGAAATTTTTTTACTGCTGTCTGAAATATGTTTTTGTTCATCTGAAAATAAGTTTTCCTTGTCTGCTAATACTGAAAAGGTATTTTAAATTTAAACTCCTATTTTTTGTATACAAAAAGTATGGCTATCATCGATAGCATGCCCACTAACGTTTCGATTGAGGAAAGCTCGAGCAGAATGGTTAAAATCAGTATTGAATTGACTGATGTTCGGATTAAATGCCGGAAAAGTTGTTTTAAAAAGCAAATTTGCTAGACCAGTAAGACCTATGGCCAGGGATGACAACGAATCTCTTCCTTTGTGAGAATGTCCATTGCGAACAGATATGCACTCCGGATTGTAACACATACTGGTTCCATTTACTGGCTTTACTATAGTCTTTCCGTTTTCTTCAACTATTCGGTTCGGATGACTTGTTTTCGAAAAGCGAAATAAGCATGTTTGCGACGTATTGTGTTCATTTGTAATACAAACAGAAGTGTAACGGCTATGAATTTTTGGTTTCCAATGTCCACCATAACGCAGGTATCCTTTGATAGTAGAATTGAAACCGTGACCACGATCACCGACGAACATAACAGGAGCTGTTTTTACGTTAGAAGCTGCGTACTGTCGCTCCAAAGAACAAAGTCGGTCGATGTATGTACGATGTTGCAATTCATAGTTTCGTTTTTTTCTGTTCCTAGAATTAGAATAATAAAAATTTCGCAATGTCTTCCTGCTGTTTAAATGAAGTTGATAAACAAAGTCAACATCCGACACGTTATCTGCATGCGCAAATGAATGCTGACTCAACTCTGCTTCGATCTCTTGCACAATAGTACCATCGTGTGAAGCTTTCGCTCGCTTAAGACCATCACGTAACTTTTGAGCACCACCTTTGTAATGAATGGTGCTGGATTTAACTTTGAAAGTTTTAGGGATATTCAGATATTGTAATGTATTTTCGTCTAACGAACCAACATCATGACCTACACAGTAAAGTTTATTGTAAGAGTCACTATCAAATTCGATTAATTACTGAGCATACCTTCTTGTGAATCGCTTAATAAAGAGTATCTATTTTGGAGATCGAGATGAAATTTGAAACGATCCAATCTGAAATGTGATGTTTCCGTCATTGTAACTATGCCGTTGTCGGTCCCGGAAAAAGTTAAGTCGTTCAGGGCAAGCTGGTCATCAATATCAATGTTCTCAACTTTTTCATTACATAGATATCTTTCTTTGGTTATTTTAACTCTTTTTGTGGCAGCCTGTCCTTTAGTTGCAAGTGATCTATTATCTGACGTTGAAGACTGGTTCAGAAATTTTCTTGCAAGATAAAGTTCACGTCGAGCCTTCGATAATGCTGATTTTGTTATTTGTATTTGAGTATTGTAATGGATTTTTCTTTCTTTTTGTGTCTTTATACGAGTATATAACTGTTCGTTAAGACGGGCATGTGCTTCTGTAAAAACTCCAGTATCCTCATGTATCCAAGCCTTTTTTAATCCTCGGGTATTATCAACTAACAGAAAGTTCTTCCTCTCCAGTAGATTTTCTTTTAACTGATTTGATAGTGCTTTTACTTCAGTTTCCAGAATCCGGGCTTTATCAGTTGCATCACCTTTTGATTTAAAATCATCATGTGTTCTTTGTAGATTGCCAGATTAGATGTGTGCTTTTTTTGTTGAATCAATAGGCTCACATGTAAATGATGGTGTATGCTTGATTAAATTTCCAATTAGACGAATAGTTTTTGAGCCTGGCAAAAGCACCATATAATGTGCAAAATCAAGACCATAAGACGAAGAAAACTTTCTTATTGCTGATAAATCAAAAAAGGAGCTAAAGACAGCATCCTTATTTTCTGTAGCTATTTGTCTTGAGACCAACACTTGATCGTCAAATCCGTAAATGTCCAAGTTTTTATATCTTTTGGAGGAGGAAAACAACGAGAACAGCGAGGGAGCATCAATCTTCAAAGCATTCAGTTTACCTGGCATAGTTAGAGGAGTGACCTTTACTGTAAACCTTGAGTATCCACAAGCACGGAAAACTTGATTTGCCATTAAAACAAAAGGAATTTGATATGGCATCAGTGACCAGTCTTTTTTTCGGGGAACATTTGGCATCAAAAAATTGCAAATAAGAATACATGTCTGAAGTTCCAAAGGCTGTATATCAATACATGCATTTCGTACTTGTCGTTCAGTTATCACCTTTCCATGGTTCTGAAAAATAACATTTCTCATCACCGAGACTAACGATCTCAATCGTCGTCTAGATATGTCAGTTGTGGCGCTAAGAGCTTCATCCTCCATTTCAAGCAACTGCTGTTCAGCATCTAAGTTATTCTCCGCAATAATATCAAGTTTGTGTTGATACCCCTCCTCAGCTTGATCAGAGACTCTTCTTTCTGTATTATGAGCAGTATTTATACTTCTCTAAATAGCCCGACATTATTAAAATCGGTAATCCTGAAAAACCAATTAGTAATGTATATTACTTACTTCTTGTTCGAGTTTCATTTTATATGTATCAATTCGGACCTGACATCTGTCAGCACGCCTCTTCCATTTGTCGTGGTTTTCAGTATCAAGTTGCGCCTTTTGTAGATATTTATCTCTCCTTTTAGCTTCATTTTTAAATAAGGCTCTTTTTGAATTTCTGTTTTTATGAATAACGCTGACATTATGTAAAGGGATGGTTTTTGAATACACCTTGGACTTGTTTTTATCCTTCTGTTTTTGCTTGTCCTTTTTGTATTTTTTGAGTTTTGCGTCTCTTTGTGGAGCCAGATGTACAGTAAGTAAAGTTTTTAAGAGGTTTGTAAATAGCTTATTGAAACGGTTTCTGCTGCTCCACATATTCATAAAATTTGTAGAGAAGCTTGATAGAGCAATTTGCATTACATACACATCCAAGTGAGGCACATTTTCTTCATGGCGACCCAAAATATTGACAAAGGCCTTATGTATTGGTTTTCTGTTCAATGTAGATGTTAGAGTACCCCTTTGACCAAAATAAGTTGAATTTATCAATTGTAAATGACTCATATTAAACAAGTTCCGGTATTCCTTGTTGAAAAAATCAGAGTCCAGACAATTTCTTGATAATGGCGGTGCAACTCGATTAATAGTAATTTCAGGCTTGAATTTAGGAGGTAATATAGATGATAATTCAGCGCCTTCTGATTTGACCAGTGAAATATCCGTATTGTTGGAGATGGCAAAAGTGTGATCATTCATCAACAGAAAGAGTTTTAAAAGCTGTATTCCATAGCTTGTAGTGTAGTCCAATACTTCCTCCGTTGTTTGTTTGAGAATATCAACTATATGCTGCTGGATATCAGTATCAATATCTTTGCGCTTTATTGAGTTGAAAGAAATGGTACAGACTCGAGTATGATTCTCATCCTTCTTTGGTAATAAAGGTACATCATCCGTGACTGAAGATACATCAGGTACATTAACAATAGGAATGACAGGAGATTCAACAACTTTTGTTTCTTTTCCTTTGCCCTTGAATGTATGCTTGGTATCGGCCAATATACTATCAAAGTTATCGGCCACAAATTCTGTCCAGTAGAGAAAGTTTGGCTTCTTCTGGCGTTTCAGAAAATTTTCAATTGTCGTTGCTTGTAAGTTAGCCTTTTTTTCCGCTTCTGTAACAAGTCCTCTTTCGAGGCGGGAACTACTTAAGCATTCATTTTTAAGCGTATTAACATCAGCTTTAGCCTCTAGACATACAAGTATTTTTCTTGAAAGACGTATTCTCATCTCCTGGCGTAACGCTTCCATGAGATTTTTTGCCTCTTGGTCATGTGTATTTTTTTTTATACGCTGTGAAGGATTATCTTCAGTAAAATCCCCACGAGGCCTTTTTCTTCCAGCTATTCTCCAAATAGGGGGTTTGTTTATAGAACCAGTTTCTTCGTTGAATTGCGATCTTTGTTGCTTTTTATAGCGCATGAGAGCAATATCAGTTTAACATAAATGGAGAGAAGACGAATGTTTGACCACACTCTTATTTTAAAAAAAATAGAATCAGTAATTCTTACGTCATTAAAAAGATTATAAATTACTTGATAAATTGTGCCTGTAGTTTCAATCTATTTATCATCATTTTACATTCTATGCGAACTAATAACAATATACGCACGTAACGTATCATTTAGGCTGTCCCCAAATATTTCAACCTAAGGTTTAGATCAGCTGTGTCACGAACTTAAAGGACTAACTATTGAATAATAGCTCTTCCAATATTTGTTTTTTTGTAGTCATTACATTTCCGAGTCTTGTAGGAAAATCCCTTACGTGCACTTTGACTGTAAATAACTTCCTGCACATTCAAATGCCTCTTGTTAAAGAAGGACAAATCATATAACTTTGTATCTCAGACCTTTTTATTAGAACAATTCTACTATTTGATGGTAGACTACGGTGGACCAGATGGACAGAATTACATATGCATTTTCCCTAAGTATTCGGCAAGTATTTTGATTTCAGTGCTAAAATTGAGACAATACTTTTTTTGATGGACAGCAGAGTTTGTACACCGCCGGTCCACTAAAGTTAGTATACTGTATACACACAGGTGTTCATGCTGGTTGATTAGATAAAATACGTTTAAAAATAGACCCATCTATAATAATGAATTTACCTATTTTATGGTTTTATTATGTGTTTTCAAATGTAATGAGACTGTAGTACTTGATGACTCCCCGCAACATAAGGATAACAATCTCCTGATTGGATGAGGCTAACATCCCGGGTCTAATGCATGGCTCAATTAACATGAAAGGGTACACAATCTTGGTAAAATCAACATTATACTTCCTTTGGGCTTGATGAAAAGAATCTTGAATCATAGTTGTAATAGACAATATTAATCCATGGACAGCGCTTCAAAATAAATTTGAACAGGCTTTCGTCGATACTGGGAAAGAGTCCAAGTCTCAATGAATTAAGCAGACCAGACGAACTCCATCTTACTACATGTTCCCGTGATGAAGTCCTGCCGTTCGTCGATAAGCACTTGTAATAAATGCTAGTCCAAGTCCGGTTGTCTTGTCAAGAGAAAGGATTTTTTTTTTTTTTTTTTTATGACGAGAAGGATGAAAATAATCGTTAAGATTTAAAAAAATTTGCAAAAACTTACTGATACCATGTCTACTGACACTTTGGATCCTCCTCCGCCTCCTCCACCTGGTGGTGAGACTGTCCCTACAAACGGGAATCCTCAACATGGTTATTTTAGTAGAAAATGTAAAATTTATACATTTTTGAGGAATAACTATAGAAGTTACAAGGTATATATTGAGCTTGGGATTAATAGAAATTGTGTGGTTCTTATTTAATTAATCATATATGTGTAGCAACTCTTTCGTGAAATTGCTGAAACTCATTCTCGAATCCGTAAGGACTCCTTTGATTTTGCGTTATTTTTGTGCTTGAATTATCTCACAAATGAGCAATTACGTATGCAAGAATCTACCATGAACAGCTCTGTAAGATTGAGAGAAATATCAACTGCTATGGTTGTGTACAACTTACATCTGGGTAATCTTTCTAATGGACTTCGCGATATTCTTGCCGTTTTTCCTACTGAAAATATTCAACAAATGGAAATTGCAAGACAAATCTTTATGAGAGAGGCTGCGTCACTTCAAAATCAAACTCTTCGGCTGGACAACATAAATGCCATTATTAATGAAGTACTGGAAATTGATATCACCATTGACACAGCGAATACAAATCTTTTACAGATTATACTCATATTAAAGCAAGAATTAAATCGTATTGATGACGCTGTTGTACGCACCAGTACAACTGTAGGCACATTTGAGGGTGTCTACGAAATGTACCTCCCAAATCTGACGCAAAGATTAAATCTTTTGCTTCCACAATTTGAACATGTTGCAAGACTTACCATCGATACAATAGTCGAACACAGAAATACAATTTAATCGTTACACTCTTTGGAACGAAGATCAAATGAAGCGTTAACATTTGAACCCAACAACCAAGAACTTTTACAGTCACGTACATTGCTTGAGCGCACAATAGGAGGGCAATGTCTAGAACTCCGTATTTTTTTCATAAGTATATTTTAGAATCACGTGATGGTCTACACGTCGATTGACATGCCATATCATCTAAACTTCATTGGATGATCGTTTTCTGTTTTCCATAAAATCTGCTTTACTGTCATTACAAGCTACTACTGTAACGCAGATAGAGAATTACCAAGCTCTGACTTGCTTGGGAGGTTTTTGCAAGTGTTTCTATTTTAAGTAAAGGCTCAAACATTATGGATGATAAAATAGACAAATGAAATCATCTTGACATAAGCTTGTTTATCAGCCTATAAATAAAGCTGGTTCACACACTTCATTCTTCTCCTTTTCTTTTCTCTCAACATATTTCTTCTATCTTATGAAAGTAACCGATAACATAAAAGGGTTAATTAGTAATGACACTTGTTTCTTTGAAAAGACGCTAAATCGAAAAAGATATATTGCGATATTGCGGCTGCGGCTAGTCTTTGCTATAGGAGGGCGACCTCCTAGGCAGAGCTCTTGAGTTTTTGAAACTCACAGACTGTGAATAGCAGGGATTGCACTGTAAATAGATGCAATCATACTGGCCTGCTGGTCTTCTAGCCAGAATTCCTGTAAGTGGTATAAAAAAAATACGTTTAAAAAAATACGGTCTAGACATTTCCCCATATTAGCTTGGAACATTTTATACATTCTAGTCACTTTTTGATAAACAACAAAAAAATTCTGAGAAACGCCGTCAATATGCTTTGAGAAGAATTAACAAATTGAAGTGTAAATACCTGAAAAATACTATCGATTGTTTAGAACTCCAAGTTCTTGATGTATATGAGTATTTGTAAGTCATATATACAGTAACAGCCATAGGCCCACACATATCGTAACTAAAAAATAATTGAAAACTTAGATTGCGTAACATTAATAATTTTGAAGATTTGAACATTATTAACAGTAACGCCACTGAATCCGATTTCTTTAATGCCGTTTACCCTATCATCAGCATCGTCATTCGCCGTACTCATAATTTACAATCAAGAAGGTATGTGTCAGCTTTTATGTGAAAAGTCTGGAATTGTAAATTATGTTTTTTGTTAGTGGCGAAGGTACTTGTCAAGCTACCAAGGACGCTCTTGCTCTGCTCAAAAAGACATTCGGGGTACAGAGTACCCAACGAGTATATGGCAGAAAAGTAGATTTGATGTTTATTGATCGGAAGCACAAAGTAGAGCTTTGCTCCTCTGAGTGGAAAAAAAGAGGTGTATCATTAGAGACCTTACTTTGTCAACAGACAAAAAACCTTCGTGTCTCAAAATGCATTTTTAAGCAAATCGCCAAATTAGATATCTCGCTCCCTGAATTACAATCGCTATCTATTGATATTATGGACTGGCGTGGTAAATATTGACTGCCTATGAAAGGCGTAAAGTGTTTAAGCTCATACTTACAAACAAATATTTTATATAGGGTTTGATGGCTACATTCTGCAGATGCAAAGAGTTAATGGTGTATATCTGGTCAATCTTACAGTGCATCTATTTTATAATGAACAATTTTCGTAAAAACGGACATTTTTCAGAATTTTAAAGCCCGATTTTTACACTGGTGATTTTCATATACAGTATCCTAAATAAAAATATCTTTCAATAATCTTGTTGTATGTATAATGCATGATTTCTTATGTATATATTTTTGTACATGAATTTCACTAGCGGTTTCTTTGTTTTGTTGGTCGAATTTTTCTTCTTCGGGAGTTCTGACAAGAGGTCTCTTGGAATTGGTGTTTTTAGCAGACATGGGGTTCATAATAAAAGGATTTTAGAAGAAAAGGTGTTTTCACTTTTTTGATGTTAATCAAACTTTAAGCAAATCAGTATTTATAACTCCCCATGTTAATAAAACTGAAAACTTCCAGCAGATTCTCCAGTAATATTAACTCGATTTCAGTTTCATTAACTCAAGGCTACAATATTTAGAAACTTCTGAGTTGAAACTAAGGGTTCTCATTGGAGGACATAAATTTTTATTTCCAAAAAAATAAAAAAAAAGTAAAAATACTGCAACTGTATAAATACAAAACTACATGAGCTCAAAAAGGAACAACACCTACAATGGTGGTGGCGCTAATGGCAATTATAACAAAAGCAATGCGAGAGGACCTCCTAGAGAAAGGAATCCTAGGCATACACAACGAGCTAATTACGGTAACGACAGCAAAGATGGCTCCTTTCAACATATTAATATATCCATATAGAGCAAGCTACGGGAGAATCTCGAGCCATTCAATTATTAAAACGAATATTTAGTGACGAGGACGATACCTCATTTTCGCGTAGACTCGCCCATTCAAATCAGTTACTAAAAATTTTGGAAGAATCGCGAAACACTGTGTCAGATTCGCTTCAATTTAGACAGGAACAGATGCAATTATTGGATATATGTATATATGACGAAGGACTCCGCAGAATTGTAGAATTTGGAAAAGTCCCTTCGTCTTTGCGTACTGTGCTTGCAAAGATTGTGTCAGGATTAGCTTGTTACACTCGTTTAGATCTTGCTTTAAGCTGGATCTTCGATAGATTAGAAAGTTGGCCTACTGCCGAAAAATCTATTGTAGAAGTCAATAAAGATCGTGAATGGAAGAAATGGCTCTTACGTCTGCTGAAACAAGTATATAGAGAATTTTGAAGGTTAAACTTATGTGTAGCTCAATTAAGTTTATGCTAGGTTCTTGTAGATTCCTCCACAGATCAATATACTTACCGACAAACCCAAGAGATGTCACCGACAATTTTATCCGGAATCATCACCTTTTTGGATACTATGGATTCACCTGAATATATTCCTACTATCATAGATATATTGGTTTTTTTTGCAGAAAACTATCAAAATTTGTTTAGACAGAGATTCAAAGTAAGTGGGTAATAATGCTTTATTTAATTGTGAATGAGTAGTAATCTCGATTTTTTAGGATATTATCGATTTACTTGTGGGATGGAATATGGATATTGGACTATCGGATACGAAACGAGAGTCGATCATCTCTTCATACTCAAAGTTTGGTGCATTTTGGGGAGGCTACCTCCCATTTGCCGTTAGTCTTTTACGTCATTTTCTTGATGATATGCATGCTATTGTTAGAGAGTTAACAATTATGCCCATTCACGATACTGAAGAATACAAAGGAAGATGGGGTGTGTGTACAAATCTGTTTGAGTAAGTTTATAATCTTGGTGGAAAATGTTAAAAGTTGTTGATATATGTTGCTCTGCGTAGGTGTTATCTTGCGATATTAGATGCGATGCAGCCTTTGCTTCCAAAGGATAGCAAATACCAGGATCAACATATCGCAGAAATCACATTTGAAAAAATGCTGCCTGAAATTGTTTCCTTAGTTAACAATGCGCTTCCTGCTAACCCTTGTTTAAAATGGATACAGATATGTGAGTGAAATATCATAGTATTTTTATTTTATTTACAGTATAGGTTTATTTAGCTAAAAGTGTCATGCTATCTTTGATCTCGTACAAGCCAAACATTTATCGAGCCTTTCAAAAAGACGTATACCTTTATCTTACAGAACAGGCAAAATCGGATATATATATGGGCCCTCAAGAATATTTACAAACGCTCATGCGTGTAAGTAAAAGGATAGAGAAAAATGAGTGTGATATACTAATCCAATATACATAGTTTATAGACTTTTGGGACACAGATATTGATGAAGATATTATACACCATTTGTTAGATCCTCAAATCTCTCCTTTGTTTCAATTGCGGGTTAACAATCGAGGAAACACCAAATTAAACGAGGGTATACTGGTTCTACTTCGATTCCTTAACAGGATCCCAATTTGTGAAGAAAATCGCTTTTATACAAACCACAAAAGCATCGATCAATTGATTAAATCCCAACGCAGTATGAAGCAGTTTTTCGGTACCACAACCAAAAATCGACCACTCAAAAGAGCGATGGTGTTTATTGAGCAAAATGATGGGGCTGTCTCTTTTGACTGCGTAGAGCAAGGAAATACGGTTACAGAGTTAGAAGTAAATTTTGCAATAGAAGATGCATTATTATTCAACTTTCTTTTATTGGATTCTGCTTCTGTCTGGCCACAGTTACGTTTTGAGAACTCACTAACTTCTTTGGAAATGTTGTGTATGGCATGGACTTATAAGTGTAACGACCTTTTCGATTCTTGCTTCCAGTTACTAAAAGATTATTGGACCAGGTAAATAACTTTCTATTTTAGGAAGAAACACATTTTGACATTTCGAATAGGCTAAACTTTTTGATCGATGATGTATATGAATTCGAAATGGTTGCCTGTCTATTGACAGATTTATTTGAAAATTGGACAGAACTCAATTTGCATACTAGACAATCAATAAGCGACTTTGTTAAGTCTGTATTGACTGCCTTATACGAGACTGAAAACTTTCAACTGAACTCGTCGCCTCTCTTCAAACCTATCATGTCTGGGTTTTTGTTTGCAGCAGGTAAGGTTAATCACTGTTTAAACAATCAATCATCTGACAACTTTAATAGGAGTTGAAAAAAACAACTTGCTGAAAGAGAGTATTCTAAAACTCATTGCGCACTATTGTCAGATATTTGGATCATCCGATATTATCGACTTAATACTTGAACATGTTCAAAAAAGGTAAATGTAAAAGGTATGTGGCTATTCAAACCTTGCTGACATTTTATAATAGCATCAATAATCCACACCGAAAAGTTCAAAATGCTAGTAAAGATCTATTAACCTCTCTCAATCCTTTTATGATTTCTGAAGTGAAAAAGTTTGATGATACAACTGCCGCGTTTATACAGGTAACATGAAGACTTATTCCCAATTTAGGCCGTTATCACTGATACTGATTTTTTTCACAAACAGAGTATCATTATGGCTACACCACATACAGGTTCCTTCCGACCCGTGCATTATGAGATTGTTATGAAACACCTTGGTATGGCGGAACATTTAATTGGGTCAGATGATCAACAAGTACTCATTGCTTCTAATCCGGCAAACACTTCGGAATGGGCTAGGCGACTACTTCATCATTGTGATACCATTGGTAATATGAAAAACGTAAATATATTCGGTGAGCTTGAAGAAGGTAAAGTCTATTATTTTTAATGGGAAACATATAGTAAACTTTACAATTGATAGAATTGGATTTAGGGGCTATTGTTGACCTGATAAACAACAGTGAGCCATTGCTGTGTTATTGGGCAATGTGGGAATCAGCAAGATATTGCATGTTATCGCGATTACGTACCCCCTTTGGCGGACCGCAACAAGTAAGATTCGATACCAAACATTAAATGAAAACATATTGATTTTTTTGTTAGACGTTTGCTGCTTTTGAACGCATGTTAACTTCGTTAGTAAACAATGCAGAATTGAAAGAGTGGTAAATATGACTATTGTTATTTATTGTACTCGTGTTGATCTTGTATTTTAGTGGAGGACAAAACGCTGACTTCTTGCGTCACTTGCTACTTTTGTTGGATCGGTTGGAGCTTCAAATATCTAATGCATCTTTTGGATGTGCTACTGGTACCCTTCCTGCCGTTCCACGCTCCAGTCTTATCTTTTTTAGAACAAACAAAAAAACATGTCATGATTACTTTTCCAGGATCAGACATAGTATCATTGCAGGCGCTAAAATTGTAGGCAATGATCATTTATTGATAGCTCATGTTATACGGGTAAATATAATTTTTAAGGGATGTTATCAAGGTATCTAAAAGGTTTTACATAGATCTTATCAGAGCTCGAATCAAACATTCCGTCAATGGCAGATATTATGCCTTGGTTTAAAGAACTAAATGGATATCTCAGCGAGTTGGTTGAAGCATGTATACGCGAACAGTATATGGATCTTATATACGGTATGCAAGCATGGTACAAGAAATTAGTCAGAAAGGTCTATCAGCTGTCATCCGAGTTTAAAGAAAATTGGGGCTTTGAAGGGCTCATTGGTCCTATAATAAGATCAGGTGAAATCTCTAAAGCTACTGTCACTTGGTTTCAAGTTGCAGCCTTGTTTGCATCCGTAAGTTACAAAGGTTTAGAATTACGTTTTACGTACTAATAACTATCTTACAGAGTCGGGATGAGATGGCAATCAAGTCTTTAAACACCTTAAAGTCTTTTATATCCAACGACAATTATGGAATACTTGATATGCTTGATAGACAAGTAAGTTTGATGGAAAATTTAACTAGTAAAACTGAGTTAATCAATTTTATAGGTAGTGCACTTTTATACTTGCCTTGAAGACTATGATGCACTTCAAGCGATGCTTGATTCTGGGTCTACAGTGATCAATAGTTTTATTTGTGATAGTCTCCGCTCATTTAACTCTGGCCATGAAGGGTTTGAAAAGGAACGATCAGCAGCCATGTCGAATATACAAAAATTTGTTAAAACCGCACCACTTGAATCATGTTTGGAGCTCGCTAGATTAGATCGATTTAGAAACTGGGTTGTCTCTTCGGACGAAAAATCGGCTATTACTTTAAATTCAGATATTACTGTCCGACTTACTGGAAGGATTCTTCAGGTGCTGAAAGATGGAATTTTTACAAATATCTCAAGTTTGCTTGAACTTCAGCTACTTCAGTGTGACTGGAATAGTCTGATTTCAAGTGCTAAAGACTGGTTTGATGTGACATCAGGCAATATTCCCAACTTCCATAACCTTCCTCCGGAGACTAAACATTGGGCTAGATTATCAACCTATTTTGAAAGGTTATTCAAGCTTAATGAATCTAACAAGATACAAGGTGTATCGCAATGTCTTGGCTTTATCCAACTTCATTCGGCTAAAGTGGCTCGACGTCAAGGGAACTTTACGCTTGCTGAAAAGCTAATCAATAAGGCTGTCCTTGTTTCTGATACTAAATACTTGGCTCTTTACGAACGTACAAAGGTTCTATTTACCCAATCAAATTATACACAGGCCATGGAAACGATTAATGAAGTCTTAGTTCACACTTCATCTGTGCCTGAGTATCAGGAGTTGAGAAGTAAAGCGTATCTCAAGGTGGCTCTTTACTTAAAGAATAGTCCTGTGGGCGAAGTCACTACTCTGCTGAAAAAATTGGACACAAAGCTAATGGAAATGTCAGCAACCGATTTACAATCTTCAGTGGAAAACTCAATCGACTTTGCTCTCGAAAAATCGATTGAAAACAATACAGAAGATGGACGGCCTTGGTTCGAATATGCTACCCATTACTACAAGCAAGGCTGGCGTATTTTAGATGAAGTTTTACGACCCCATTCAACAATGCCAATAATAATTTGGGCTAGTGAAAAAATACAGTTGGCTCTTGAAAAGGCTGATGCTACTATTGATAAAAAGCAAACCCAAAAGGTAAATTCTACATCAATTTGCTTATGTAAATATGCTCAATAATTAAGACAATCGATATAGATGATATTTTGTCTTCTGACTAAGTACTCATCTTCTATTGGTGATAAAAAATTAGTCGACTGTGATTTCTTAAGCACTAGCTTGCGTCAAATAGCACCATTTTTAGATGCTGAAGGAGAAATTTCTGTACTCGATACGTTAGATGTTTTACAAAAGATGGTCATTGACAAATTCTATGCTTCCGCTCAAGCCTATTTTCGTTATCTTTCTTTAGATATTCATAACGGAAATGTAAGTTCACAAAATTGGTACACGACTATGTTCTCACAAAAAAAAATAGGTTGAAAGCACAGAAAACATTAGCTCAACATCTATGGTAATCACTGCATCACTTCGTATCTTGCGTATACTTACTAAGTATGGAGAAGCATTACAAAATTTATACACTGAACATATCGAGATTGTGCGCGTCGACCTTTGGAAACAAGTTATTCCCCAACTTTTTGCACAATTGAACCATCCCAACGAATTTATTAGACAACTCATTGGGAAACTCATCAGTAGAATCTGTGATGAATATCCCCGTGAAATTGTTTATGATGTTATTGTCAATTCAACCTCATCAAAAACCAATCGCGACACAAAACAAAGCCTTACTGCTATTGCTAACCGAATGGTGGACCGAAACGAATTATTATGGGCCTCTACTAGACGTATGGCAGAAGAGCTTGAGAAGATTACAGTACTGTTAGAAGAAAAATGGCAGAATAAGATCGCTTCGTTACAATTTGATGTCATGCAACAGTTTAGTAAGCTTGATCAAGAAGCTGAGCTTTTGACAAACTCCGAAGACAACTCTCGTGAAAGGAACTTCTTGGGCTTATATGACACTGCGATGAAATTCGTTATTGCTTCGATCGACAGACTATTCTTAGAAACTGCCGAAAATTCAGTAATATCCACACCTCACGAACAATGGTTCCAAAAAACTTACGGCAAACAACTGATAAGAGCCTACAATCTGCTTCAAAAGCCTAAATCAATGAAAGAATACCGTCATGGTTGGGAATGTTTTCAGAAGCTTCATCGTGATCTTATGACAGAGACTCACAAAGTGCGTATCCTTGAATTAAAAGACGTTTCGCCGTATCTTTCTAACATGAAACGTACACTTATTGGTATCCCCGGCTGTCATAAAAATGACGAGTCATGCTTTATTGATACATTCGGTACAAGTGTGATTGTTCTCCCTACCAAGACAAAACCAAAAAAACTTGATATGAAAGGAACTGACGGCAAAAAGTATTCTTACCTATTCAAAGGGCTGGAAGATCTTCATCTGGATGAACGCGTTATGCAACTACTGACTACAACAAATGGACTTTTGAGCGAAAACGGGGCAACCGCTCTGCGTGGTATGAAGTCCAGAACTTATGCTGTTATTCCTTTGAGCGATCATTCCGGTATGATTCAATGGGTCAATGATGCCACGCCCTTCTTTGCATTGTTCAAAAAGTGGCAAAAGAGAGAATCTGCGGCATACATGCTTTTATCGAACGACAAACCCAGTGAGGCACATATGCACGCGTTATTGCAAAGACCTACTGAGAACTTTACTGCAAAGGTTGCCACTACATTGAAAGCAGCGGGATTACGTGTAACGGCCAACAGAAAACACTGGCCTAAAGAAGTATTGGAGCAAGTGTATTTGGAGCTCGTCAAAGAAACGCCAGGAGATCTTTTAGAAAAGGAGCTTTACTACTCAAGCTCAAGCGCCACGGAGTGGTATAAAAAAAGTACCTCCTTTGCTCGTTCATTAGCTGTCACATCAATGATTGGCTATATCATTGGTCTTGGCGATCGTCATTTAGATAATATGTTGATAGACTTTCGATCGGGTGAAATCATTCATATCGACTATAATGTCTGTTTTGAAAAGGGCAGGCGTCTTCGTGTTCCGGAATTGGTTCCTTATCGTTTAACTCAAAATCTTCATGGAGCGTTGGGTATCACTGGCGTAGATGGTCAATTTAAAACCGCCGCTGAGGAAACACTTCGTGTACTTCGAAAGCATAAGGAGGTACTCGTAACTCTTTTGGATGCGTTTGTATATGATCCTCTTGTGGATTGGGAAAGTGAAGCTGTGGAGACTGGTTATCGACAGATGATGGAATTACAAACCAATCTTGGATTAGTAGCTACTCGCATCACGGAAAAACAAGTTGAGAATGAAAAAGAAAAGTCGTTAATTTTAGGAAGTCTAGCCAGTTTACAACATAATTTACATCAATGGCAAGAATCAATGCTTTTGGAGGCAGAGTCTCTCAATGAAGAAGAGGGGAGTGAAGATGATGACTCTATATTAGATAATGGTGCCTCGCTTCCTGCTGCTGATAATGATTCTCCATCTTTCATGGTAAGTGTTGTGTGGTTATGCAGGAGTTGTGACTGACTGACATATTTAAATAGGGCCGTCTTCCTATCTATCTTTTACGAGAAGTTAAAAGTCATCTCTCTGGAGTCGTTTCTTTAATTTCAAACTCTAGGTCTTCAATAGAAGGGTTGTGCCCTTTGCTTGAATCTATAATTATTATTGAGACTGATTCGGATAATGAATTGCGCCCTGCTCAAAAAAGTGCTAAGGTGATTATCTTATTTTACACCACTTATTACAAAAGCTAATTTTTTCAACAGATGGCTTTGGACTCGCTCTCTGTTTTGGATATGGAGTTTAAAAAACTGGATAAGCAAATCAAAGAAAACAATAACTACGAATCTGAGTGGAGTTACTCTCAATTGGTAAAAATTTCATCTATCATAGTTCATGAATTTATTGTTTACTAAACTCAAATAGCTTGAATTCATCCAATTAATGATCAAATCTGTGCAAGATTTTTACTCTTCCCTGAGAATTTTAGAAGAGTTTGGACCCGATAGTAGTAAAAATGTAGCTTCATTAACAAGCGATGAAACCGGACGCCTGCAAGATGATTATAAACCATCTGATACCACAAACTATGAAGGTTTGGATACTTACAATGAAACTTCACAGGAGGAACAAAATTTGAATCTGAATAATGGATCACAGAAACCTTGTAAGTTTTATTATTTACATAAAAGTCTAACACTCATCCATTATACTTCGCTATTGTAACAGCCAACAACAAAATTCCTACTAATAATCATGTAACAAAGCTCATGAAAAGAATTAGATCAAAGCTTGAGGGCTTTGACTTTGGTGTGCAACACAAAATGAGTGTCTCTGAACAGGTATTAAGTAGATTTTAATAAACACGACAACCTTACTAAAACAATTTTGCAATAGGTCACGAGATCGATAGAGCAAGCAACATCTGTGGATAACCTTTGCTTAATGTATGAAGGATGGACCAGTTGGGTATAATTATTCAACTCATTTATCGTTCACACATGTTCTATGCAACAATGGGATAAGGAAAATTTTGGGTTATTTTTTTGGAGACAGATAAGAATACGCACCGAGTTATAGAACTCATGTATCTGCTGTTATGAGGTGATCTATCTTCTACAAATATATCTTTCTTATCCATCTACTTTTTACCACGCTGCTAAAAGTGGTTTTAAAAAAGTATCCTAATTAGTGAATAAACCCAATACTCAAAAAAAAAAAGCATGTTGCCCTCTCAGACATAATTTACATATACGATGCATAATTAGCATACTAACAGACCAATTGTTCGTACATTTTGTTTTATTATTATCGTTTATGCGTTAAAATAGTTTCGTACCCTACTGGAGGCATTTTCAGCTAAATCTTTAACTGCATCCAAATCAAGAGCAGCTTGGTCAACAAATTTTCTCGCCATCGCAACAGCTTGATCCTGTACATTATCCCATTCGCCAAGTGAGACAACGTCTGGGTTACCTCCACTATTATATGATCTATTATTGCCTCCATAAGATCCTTGATTATCATTGTTATCTGATTCTCTTCCAAAGTATTGATCGGATGAAATAGCTTTAGCTCCTGAGAATTGTGTAAGGCGACTAGATTCAGCAGCAGTAACAGCTGGATCGTATTCATTTCTGCCGAAATATTGGTCAGAGGAGATCGCACGAGCGGAACCAAATTTATCCCTGGCAGTTGTACTATCATTTTGTTCCTTTTGTTGATATGATTTTTGGGAGGGCATGGAGATGGATGATTTATTTTCATTCATGTTCATACGTGACATACCAAAGCCTAGTTTTTCATATTCGTCTTCTTTGTTCTTAGTGCTGCCGCTAGTATTATTGTCGCTATATGCTAAACGAGATGATAAAACCTTAGGAGCTGATTTTTCGTCTGCATTGTTATCGTTTGTTTTAGCTAGCTCTTCTTCCTCGACACCATATTTAACATTGCGTTCCAAATCTTGCTTCGCTTGAGCTTCGGCTGCTTCAAAATTAAAGTTGACAGGTGCTTTCTTGATACCTAATTTTGTTGTTTTTCCGGATTTACGAGGTGCACGAGCTCCTACAGTTGATCGGGCAGCCCGAGCTGTAGGTGTAGATATTTTTACGGGTGCTTGCGTAGGTTCGACTGGTATAATTTCCTCTTTTTCGACTACTTCAGGAGTAGCAGCTAATTCCACAGCAGGTTGTACGATGGGTGTGACAATTGGTGTTTTCTCCTCAACTTCAACACCATCGTTCATATCAATTACAACGGTAGCAGGATTACTGGTAAAATGATGTCAGTTACTAAAGTATACAAGGTGCGACAATTATATTTACGCGATGGCATCTTCTGCAGTTCTTTTGGCTAATAATTCCTTATATTGTTCGCCTGTTCTGCCCGAATATTTAGCTCTGGTGTCCTTGGCACCGTTGCCGCCATGCTTAGAAAAGTATTCTGAAGCATTTTGGTTGCCTCCAACCTTCATCATGCGAAGTTGTTCCCAACTCCACGAATCGAGCACGGTAGATCTAATTATGCAAAAGTGGGTCAGTTCCGTCGGCCTCATTTTAACACAAATTACTAAATACCTAACAAAACTAATGTGTACACCTAAATTACGATGAGCAGAGGAGCAGTCGGTACAGATATAAACACCAAATGATACAGAAGCCCAGTTTGGGTTTTTGGAGTTACAGTCAAAACATGCCTTTTGATTTAATCTCAGTAACAACAATCTCGTTACTTAATTCAGTGTATTACCTTGTTGTATCTGTTCTGCTTCAGCTTCTTGAATACAAGTTGAATTTGCTCTTTCGTTGGTTCTGGCATGTTTTGAATCAGATGAAGAAATAAAGGTATAAATGAATGGTTCAGATACGCGCGAATGAAATAGCGTCACGCATCGATTAAATAGCCGCAAAAGTGGTCAGCATTGTGTCCCGCAAGACACTGAGATAGAACTACGCTTTTCTTAGGGACAGCCAAAGTGCACGTAGTGACAACGTAAGACCTGTGACTTGGCTGTCTTCTAGACCTAAAAACAAGAATATACAATCAAAAACAATGTAATGATTACAAATAAATGTATATTGAACGATTTATGCTTACTTTTACAATTCTATCATCACTCTTTCGCCTTTGAGCTCGTTTGATCTTAATCTTACGCAGAAATAGTAAGGTAAAGTCCAAATGAGAAGCTTAAAGTAAGCTATAGCACGCACATACTGATTTAACATATGTTGGTTATAATAAATTTGCATCTAGTTCAAGACTATAAGTTATATAGACCTCTTGGTGTCTATTAAAGTATCATAACCCGACATTGCGACTACGCGCACTCTGTGTGTACCTAAGAAGAATGGCTGTCCCTAAGAGACCAGATAGAACTATGTGCATCATTGTGATTGATCGTAAAGAGGAGACCAATATTTCTGGTTACAATAATTTGATTTCATAACATAGATATCATTGTCAGTTAATCAACAAATACGTTCTCTCCGCGTCATGAAACCTTTAAGCAAAAAACAAACCAGCGTGCAGAAAATGCGACTTTCAAAGTATGAATTTTTCATTTATCAAAGATAATTCGCTTCATAAACTTAATTAGCAACTATACTGAAAGAGAGAAAACGTGGTCTGATCTTTTGTAAGTAGTAAATTCAAAAATATCGAATTTAAACTCTTTCGTCGAAAATATAATATCAAAGGTCTGGATAAAGGCAGGTTCAGAAAATCAATGGGATTAGCAATTTTTACTGTCTCAGGACCGAACTTTTACCTTTTAGTGATCGACTATTTGTTGCAAAACATTATGCTTGTCCCAAATGCCTAAACAACCGCAAATAATCTATCGATGGGTAATTTACTTGGTAAAGTGTCTCTTCGACTCTGTTTGCATATGGTAGATCACCAGGTAGACAGACTGATAATTATTACATCCACACTTATTAAAGCATAGCGCAAATTTTAAAAACTTAAGCGTTGAACTGTTTAATGTTTGTTTTTGAGGTCTTTTAGTTTATTAATTGTGGTAAGAATTAATCGGCAACCAGCCTTGCACCGGCCCTTTATGTGGAACCGTTTGTCAACCATACCCACCTACGTTCTTTCATCTTTTCAGTATCTTTGCCACATATCCTTGTGTCAAATACAACACAAGGTATTATGCTTTTGACTCTAGAAACGAGCCGATCTTCATTTTTATTTATAGAGTGAGTAAGCATAATAAGGTTGATAGTAAAGACGAGCGGCTAGTTTAATTACTTTGGTTGACAGGAATTTTTATTTTTCCTCGATTTCTTCCTTTGTTCTTCTCTTTTCACTTTTTTTATTACAACTATTGTTTCTTCTTTGTTGGTCGTGCTCAGATAAACCGTAAATCAGTACGTTCGTCTTTTTATTCGTGAATTCTGGCACTTCTTGACAATTTGAAGTGAGTTTGTGTGGTGTTTTCCACAAAATCCAAAAGCAGTGATATAATACATTTGCAAGACATTCAATATCAATCTCAAAAAAGTGTATAACGGCCCAATCGTAATTTTATTAAGAGTAATGCAATTTTAAATTTATTACTTATACCTGGGTATATTATATCTTATTTTTACTATAAACCATAAATGAACCCAAAGCGATTTGAAGCAAATCTTACAGGCAGTTCATTAGTGTTGCTTTATTCTCAAGTGCAGTCAATAAGTATAGAGACATTTACTTTTCTAAATTCTTTAGTCTTTAAATATTTGTAGCCCATTTGCGAGCTGCTTAGATTTGATAGTCCTTGCTTATTTGGAACGGTAAATATATATGGAAGGTCAGCTTTGCTAAGTTCTATGATATTAATTCTCTGGATGTCATAGATCAATGACATAATATTTAATAAGTCAAACATCAATTCTATTAAATTAGAGCCATGTCAGAACAATGCTATCGCTATTCAAATTTTAGTATTGCTGGTAAGTTTCTGAAGTATGCACACACTTGTTTAGCCTTGAGTTTTGCTTGTAATTTAGCGCGATTTATTTGATGTTACTTACATTATCTTAAAACAAAACGTATCGCAATCGAACATAAACCCTACTTTTAAAAGACCTTTAACATAGTACACTTGTCTTGTATTGAGTGAACTTTTTCTTCGAGTTCTATTGGCATTGCCAGTGTACTTTTATTGTGATACCTACGGCCCGTCATCTCCTTCTATTCTAACTACGTATCACCTTTGAATCCTGTACAACATGTTGGTTTAGTTTCACAACAGATCAACAAACCCGATTCACCTTATTTATTAGCCATCTGCTGTTCTAATAAAACGAATGTCCAGACACATATGATCTTACACCAGAATAACTCGGTCATTTGAGATAACATAAAGTTCGGACCTTCACTTTTTTTGACGTGAAATAAGTAACATTAAGACAAAGTCGCCGGCGTGCATTTAACATGGAGTCGGTGAAGATGAATAGGCCATCGGCATAGTAAAAAAAAAACGGCTATTATCGACATGTTTACTAAACAGGGTCGGTCTGGGTCTGCAAGTTCGCCCAAAGTTTTTTTATTGAACTTTATCTTAATTTCCTGTATAATTTATAGCACATGCTACGCTACAGTGTTGTTATAAAGATAAAAACACTACATGATATACAGTAAACAATTCCGTTTTCGGTGAACCCGGCCTATAGATGAACTCAATATCCTTTAATACCAATAACCCAATTAGTAATATCTATATATATTACTCTCGGTTAAGCCATAAGTAGATTTTTGATGACGAACATGACGACAGTTCATTTAAAACTAACTTGAAGTTGGTTTTAGAAGGCAAGGTTCGTAATTACGTAACTGCATGACAATAGGTTTTAGTTTTAAAGCACTTCTGATTTGTATTCAAAAATCTTCAGATTTTTTGGATGTAATAAATTTAAAAACATTCATATTTGTTAAACCCATGCTTCAGAATTCAATGTCTACTAGTATACCTAACATCTTTAGATAGACTGGTGATGTTAGTTTCCTTTGATTTTGTACCATGGTGAGCTTAAATTAAAATGCAATACTTTAAAAAATAACGGCGTTTTACTTCACGTAATTCTTTGGACAAACGAAGAAGATTTATCATTTAGTCATATAAATTTATAATACATATAAATGGTTTCGAAGAAGTCTATCTTGTTTTCGGTCTTGGAACAGCAATTCCCCAGTTGACATACTTTCAAAATCGTCGGATAAAAGTAAACTAAGCGGCACGTTTTAGGCTCATATATCTCAACGAGGTTGTACCCGATGTCAACAATGCCATCTATAAATAACTTGAAAAGTAAAAACTGGTTGACAAAAACTTTAATAAATATATGTCCCAAAAAACAAATTTGGTGTTGCTTTTTTCTGCACTTGAAAAAATATTGCTACGGAACAACTTTCTACGTTGGCTTTTACAAGCTACTAATAACAAAGTATGACTTACATTTTAATAGATCCCAAAAATTATGATGGGAAAACCCGGTGCTACCGTTAAATCCGATATAAGCACTTGTCCCTGTCGCACAACTTAACACCAAACCATAACGAACTCCGGGTCCAGCTTTTGAAATACCTGAAATAAGCCCTTATCACTATAAATGTATGACTCTAAAGACATAGTCAAGTGAAGTTATTGCATTAGACAGATTTGTTTAGAATAAAAGCTTAAACTCAAATATCTCAAAAAAAATTACGCACGTACACAACCAGGCGAATCTCTTTAACATCTGACTTAAACAGGACTTAAAAAGCAAAGAAGTTAGTTTTTAGGTTTCTATGCAGAAGATGTAATTATTTGGGAATAAAACCCCCTTAAATTTTAATATACATAGGTGATCAAATGTCATTGTAGGAACATACGGCTGTGTATGTTTATTACTTATTAAAAACACAACAGCCTCTATGCTTACTTTGATGAGCTGTTTCTGATATTTTTCTAAATAGATTTTTCATTAGACCATTTATAGACAGTATTGTTACATCTAAATACTTTCAAACAACTTGATTAAGGCTACATATCGGTCTATAATAGTTACTGTTTTCGCCATCGACGCACTTTTGACCAAACTTCACTCGTAGCACAAACCGTGGTGATGAGCATATCTCTTTACGCTTGACTTATAATACACTTAAAACACGTTCATATCATTTTCAAACGACAACAATATAGGTATAAAATATAGCACAGCAGGCAAGTTTTTTTTTTGAATCAGGGCACGTTACACCAGATTATGTGTCTCTCTCGGTCATGCGGAGAGCACTTGTGCAGAAAAATATACATTGTCTATCAGTATAGAAATGTGAGATTTTTAAGCTAGCGATCATCAATACAGCATTAGGCATGACTTGGTAACTTGAAACATAACTAATGCAATAAAATTGTTGGGATCATACCAAATCGGGGTATTTTAGGATGTAGCTGAAATTGATCATCTACAAGACTAAAATCTGTTTATTGGGATTAGCCACAAAAGCCACGCTCTGACACATATTCTGCTAAAAAGGCGTATCGTCTAAAATGCATAATCGACATTTTAAAGGAGTGCATGAGGTACATGTATAGATTACATAAAAGTTTGTTGTTTTATTTTACAGAAAAACTTTAAAGGTCATACAGGGATTGATAAAAATAAAAGGAGGGTGTGTGTGTGTGTGTGTATAATTGTATATATATATATATGTGTGTGTGTGATTATCTGGAACATTTGTAGAATAATAGGGTACTATATATAAAAAAGAAAGATACTATGTAAATATAAATTTAAAAGCCATGATCAAACGATTGACAAGAAAAGGAATGGTATGGTGTTGTTTATGTTTATGAAACCGTGGTGAATGGCGGCCAAATTTTAGCTAAGATATCGACATCATGATAAATTGAAAAGGCAGATGAAGTGGTCAAACAAGCTTCGTGTCCTTGGTTAAGATGAGTATCGATGTCAGATTTAGATTGAATTAAAAAAAAAGGCAGTTGAACGATTTGTTGACGTCGATGTTCATGCTGATTTCTTTGGACAAGCTGTTTCAATTTATTCAAGCTATTCCAGGTGTCATTGTTGGAACTTTTGCTCTTTTGGATTGAAGCGAGTAACATTTTTTGACGTGTTTCTTCAAATTTAATTTCTTGCTCTAATATATCCTGTTCACTGTTGTTGATACCAAGCCACTTAATTTCTTTTCGGTCTTTGGTAATGATATCCAATGCCATCAATACATTTAAAGCATCGTAAACACGTCTGCGGATATTCTTTTGATCGATGCCAACAGTATTGTTGTGATTGTTTCTTTGGATATCAGCTGCTAGCTCATCTGCCACCTCGTTGTAAGTTGTCGTCTTCTTCTCTGCAACCTTATCACATACTTGTTTTGAGAACAATCTCAATCCTTTAATTTGTCGAGTATCCTCTTGATCTACTGGAAGCATTTTTTGTTTTTTAATCGTGATGGGCGACGTGGATGTGTTACAGGACCAAGATCTTCTTTTTCTTTCTTGACCAGGAAGAAAAAACTGATAACCATGAACAAGTTCTTCTTTTTCGAGTGCTAACAGCTCAGAGCCAGAATTTAACAGGGATTGAATGGAACCTTTTTTTGTTGTATAAGAAGAAAAAGAGTTTCCGGATGAAGAATTTGGTGATGACGGAAATGATGAAACAGATAAAGCGGATGAACAGGTTGAATAAGGAGGAGAAGGAGGTACTGGTGATGATGCAGCATTTGTTGATTGTTGAGTTGTTGGGCTTGTTAGGATAGGTGGCAATAAAATGTCTCTTGTCGTTGACAACTTATTGTAACTGTCTTGGTTGAAAAATTGATGATTGTAATCTTCCTTAAATATTGCACTGCTGGTGTTTATATTTGACCAATCGACATCATCGTGACTAACTCGTTTAAAGAAAAGAGATGGTAACGACGGCAACTGATTTGTTGAGGATAGTATAGTCATTTAATATTGTTTTTGGTTTGTTGTTTTTTTTTATTGTTTGGCGTTGTTTTTTGATGAAAGTGTGCAATGAAAAAAAAAATCGATAAATTTTTTTGATTTATGGTGTGTTTTCTTCGAGTCTTTTTTTTTTTTTTTTTTTTTTTTTTATTATAAATAATTTAAAATAAATAAATGCAGGTATTAAATAAGGAAGAAGAGGGAAGTCGGATAAATGAAAAGGATACTGTGTGGGGTTTTGTTAATTAAAAAAATTAAGAAGGATAACTATATGTAAAAGAAAAAGAGAGGTATAAAAAAAGATTTTATTATTATATACAATTTTTTCATGTGTTTATCATTAGAGTAGTATTAAAGTATAAGTAACCAGGAAAAAAAAATTCGTGGCTTTTTTATTATATAAGAAATATCGAAAAACGCGTGTGTATGTGTGTATGTGTGTATGTGTGTGTGTGTGTGTGTGTGTGTGTGTGCACACACTCACTTTTACTTTTCAAAACATCAACAAAAAGTATCGCTCGTCCCTGATTTGTTTCCGGAACACGGAAAGACTATTTAGAGAATGATTGACAATATCCCGCCCTTTTTTCAAGGTCGCAATCGAAAAGCGCGGGAATACCTATTTAGTAGAACTAAACAATATCATATGAATTAGTTTATTTCGTTAGGGCCTAGATTCGTTTGAAACAAGTTTTGATTACACTGATGACTGTTTCTCTTTTTTTTTTTTTTTTTTTTTTTTTGGCTTCCTTAAAGTATGGATGTCAGTGCGTGATTTTTTATGTTAAACCTGCATAAGATAAAATCATAATCCGTTATATTTATGTAAGTTTATTATTATTATTATATTAATTAATTAAAAACAAGTTCTATTATTCTCTTTTATTTCCTTTCTGTGTAGGGTCATATTAAATCTACTGTCTCTTGCTAATAACGCGCGTTAGAACTGCTTGTCAACTTAGAGATGGTAAAAACGCCTAAAATCACGACACCTAAAAAGGTAATTGCTGCAGGCAAAAGCATATCTTGTGGGATCGGTAAGTTATATTCCGCAGAGATATCTCGTTTCACATTGGCACCGCCTAAAGAGCGCGACCTCTTTTTCTTACTGATTGTTTCCATTTTTGTTCTTTCTTCTTCCTCTTCTTCTTCCTCTTCTTCTTCGTCATCCTCTTTAATATCACTTAGACTTTCTTTTCCTTCCGTCGTATAACCTAGAGTTGTTGGTTGACTAGCTGGAACATCAACCATGGCACTAACAGAATTAGCTAACTGCAATTGTCTTTGTTGTAACTTTAATTCTTCTTCTTCTTTTAACTGCTGCTTTAATTGCTGTTGTTCTGCCACAGCATCGGCTAAAGAATCATGCACAAATAGTCTAACGCGATCTAACCCTGATTTTCTAGCTAATTGCACAGAATCGGATAGGTCAGAGTCACATGTCATTAGAACCTGATCATTTTCGTCATCCAAATAAGCAATTGTCAACCAATCCTCGCCATCTTCTTTACCAACGGCAACATAGGATTGTGAGATTGAAAGATGTTCAACCATGATTTTTTGTTGAATAACTTGCAAAAGACTTTCAAAGTTGATACCATCATGACGAAATCGATGTGTTTTGTTACCATAGTTGAACTTAAACGAAAAAGTGCTACTGTTCATATGGGATGATACAGTGGAGCGGCTATCGTCATGTATAACCGATGCAGAATCCCCAGGTGTGAGCTCGGCGTATCCCAAACCTGTGTAAGTAGGGGCATGTCCTGGTAAAGGAGAAACCATTCTTATTGTAGAATGGTCATATTGAGGGGAAGAAGGTTGGAACATGTGTGAGTTGGCTGCCTGTGAGAGTGAGTCAGAAATTACGGATTCATTCTCCGTTGGATCAGCTGCAGCAATGCTACTCCAGAATTTGCCACCGTCACCCTGATTTCCTTCAATGCTATTGATCTAAAAGATCGTTAATACCGTAACGATAGAAGTTTAAATTACAATTTACCTGTTCGAGTGTAGCATAAGTTAATCGCAGTACATCAATTAATCCAACTATATTACGTTCTTCATCCAGTACAGGCAAATTAAGGTAATGGCCATCTGATTTTAGGAAAAAAATATCAGAAAGTCAGACGATTTTTTTTTTCTATTTTTATCTGTAATTTTTTTACCGTGCATTTTCTTTAAGGCATCCAATATGCTTGTTGATGGTAAAGCGGTATCTGGGTGGGGTGTCATAACACGTACAACAGAACAATTATCTGGGGCAAGACCAGCGGCAATGACACGTAAAACAATGTCCTTTGACTAGGGAAGAAATAAGTTAAAATTAAGCTTTTTTGATACGCCAAGTTTACCTACTGTAAAAATACCGGCTAATCCGCCATGGTCCATAACAAGGACAGCTGTTGTGTGATTCTCCTTCATTAATTTTGCAACTTCGCGAACCTGAGCTTTTACAGCAACTTGAACAGGACCAGCATGATCAAGTACGGTAGTCAAGTCAGGACAAGACATTTTATCACGTAAAGCTTCCATATATTGTACAAATTGAACAGGGCTATTTGCCCAATTACGCTCTACTCCCTCCAGTGCATCGTACAGCTTACGTGATGACCCATATGCCTTCTCCATTTTGTTTAATGCCTCATAAATACATTTCGTAATATCGAGTAATCCAAAGATATCACCCTCCTCATTACAAACAGGCTAGAAAACAAGCATTAATAAAATAATGGGGAGGAAAAAAATCGAATGATTAATAACGTACCAAATGACGAAATCCACGAGACACCATTAAATTTAAAGCGTCTTGAGCTGAAGTATCAGCAGTTACACACATTGGGTTTTTAGTCATGATATCAGCAGCTGTGGTAGATCTGTTATAAAAGCGAATTGTTATAATTCAAAATAGTCGATTATGAAATCAAATCATTACCTTGCATCTAAATTATCTGCAACGACTCTATAAGCTAAATCTTTGGCCTAAACCATAATTTAGATATTTACTATTGTAGATACCATACATGTACTTACTGTAAATATACCACTAAGATGTTCCTCATCATCCACTACTAATACACAATCACTTCTTTTGGCAGCCATCAATTGAGCGGCTTCAATTACAAGAATGGTTTCTCTTACTGTAAGAGCTTGAGCAGGTCGGAGAGCAGAAACCGTACCTGCGATTTTTTTCGTTTGCTTAATACGTGTTGACGCACCTCTCTTTTTAGATAGTTGTTCTTCGATTTTTTTACGAATGGCCTAAAGATTGTAACATTAATAATGGGGACATTGTTTACAATTATGGCATTACTCTACCTCATCTTTTTTAGATTGACGTTGTCTACTTGATACAGATAACATATCAGATTCTACGCTTGACTGAACCACGGTTGTACTTGTACTTAAGGAGCTTGTAGGTCTAACAGGTTTCATTTTGTTAGTTGATACAACAGACATTTTTTAATTTTTAAGTATATGAAAAGGAAAAAGAAAAACTTTTTTTTTTTTTTACTTTATTTGCCCCTTTATAATTGTCCCCACACACACACACACGCACACACACAAATACAACAGTACACATGTTTCCCCGAGCACGAAAAAAACCTTTTCATTGGTCAACAAAATCCCTTTTTCTCCCGATTTTTATATACCTTTTTTTTTTTCTTGAATTATTTCAAATTCAAATTATAAAGTAGTGTAAGAAAGTAAAAAGGGGAAAGGGAAGAAAAGGGAAACAAACAAACCAAGAAAAAAAAAAGAGACAAATGTTCCATGATCGTTATAGAAAGTTTATCACCTGAATCATCATAAAAAAAATCTTTTTTTGATAAACTTACAATCACCGTGTATCACCTTCTTATTGTTTTATATGTGATACTTGCACCATTTGGTAATACTGGTTTGACACAAAGCTGAGTAAAAAGGTCAATCACTTAAGCTTTTGTGGCTGATAATTTTCAAATCATTCCATACAACCTTCCTTGCCGGGTGCCTTTACCCGACAGGGCCGAGGGCCATGTGTTTATACACCATTTAATTAACTAGTACATATTTACACATATCAATATTTGTTACGGCATAATACATCATTTTATTCCTCCTATCAGTATCCGGGCATCCGCTAGTCCACGTCCCTTTCTCACCACTTTAGATGGTAATATATCTTTGACGTAGTTCACCGCATATAGAAAGGAGACGGTTACCCAACTAATTGTATTCAGGTACCTGCCATAATTTCTATCGGCAATCATTTCTCCCTAAAGACTGCAGCCAATTGATAATGTGGGCAAAACCTGTTGAAAGACACCGTGATTCAATCTTGATCCGGATAATATAAAGCATCCATAAATTAAGGCTAATATAGTTGTAAACATGTCTGGTTAGTAACTTAATGGTGCTGACGGACATTCTCCGGTTTAACGTATGTCTTCAATATCATAGAAAGCATACCTTTACCGGGAGGAAAGAAGAAAAATTAAGGGTTATTTGAAATAACCGTACAAGCAGTAATACTTTAATCCTGGATCTGCTAGAAATCAAAACACTTATGCATACTTTAATTTGACCATTTTTATACATGCAAAGTTTAAAGAAAAAGGGCTGCGTAAATATGCAAGGTATGATACGATTGAGCTACCTAAATTAACTACTTAAACTTGATTTACAAGAATCGTGTTTTCAATAAGTTGTCTTATTGAATTAAATGATCGTTTTTGCTTGATAAAATCTTTAAATAAAAGAATCTGAATATATCGTTTGAATTTTAAAGTAGTTAGTTCAGTAATTCAAACTATAGAAGTGACAACACAAACACATTCTCCTGCTTTCGTGACAGACCCAAAGGCGTATAGTGTAAAAATAGCCCAAGTAGACGACCAATAGTATAAGTACGCGTTTCGATATAAACATAAATAATAAATACGCCGCAATAACCATTTCAGTTTTCTTGTTGTCTTTCAATTTTAAAATTATATAAATGCGTCTGATAATTACCACCATTATTTTGGTGTTATTCAACTACTTTGTAACAAAGTTATGGTAAGTATTAATTGGGAATACTAAACGAGTTGCTGATCTCTATAAATGTATACCATAGTTTATGTATCATGCTATGTCACTAAAAAGTATATTGCTTGTAACACATGTTTTAATTACATAATGTTTTGGTTGAGGACGATAAGTCTCTAAAGAATTTTATTACACCATGTTCGTAGAGCGTCATCGGTTTACTTTCTAAAGTAAATAGGTGTACAATGTAGAAAGTGGACTCACAAAGTAAAAGAAAAAAAATACAACTTAGCACTTTAGTAAATATGCGATACCAAGTCTTGAAAATTTAAAGAGTTGCTGACAAAGAGTTTTAAAATACTAAAAGCTGCATGGAAAAGACACACCACTTTTCCATGTGTTTTGCGTATTATTTAAACTATTTACTACCTATCGGAGGTAAAGTGCGCATGTCGGATGTGAGAGGAGGGTAGCTTTATTACAATCGTTTTTTGTAACGCTGATATACAGCATGGTAAAACATATTTAACCAGCTAAAAAGTGAACCTTGAAAGAGCCGAATAATGAATAATGAATACCGACACGTTTGTAACGATCAGTGAGATAATTAAATACTAAGGAAAAGTTACTGAAGAACATAGATCATGACATCAAATGACCTTTAAGTTAGTTTGATGTCTGTCTCATACAAATGGGTCGCCTCTTTATATTGACAAAGTTTACCATAGTTTATATCAGTGTATGGTTTTTACTATACTCTATGAGTTTTGATGATTGCTTTTTTATTCTGTCTTGTCTTCTACAATAAGAGTTTTGCTTCTAGCTTTCTTTTTGAAAAAATGCACGTTGATACAATCAAACCTAAAACTGCCGCAATACGATGAATATTTTTTCTAGCCAATTACAAGCCCTGCTTAATTTTAAACCTTGACATTGTATTTTTCTCCCAAGGTAATGCGGTACTCATCATTATATTGGTGATTATGAGATTGGCCATAGCAAAGATAAAAGAAGTATTAGTTCTATACATGGGCATCACTATTATTTTGTCTATATAAAATGTATTTACTTTACGCTCTTTAAATTTGGACCAAGATACAAGTGGCCAAAAGATGCTACAAAAATGTTAATATAAACTTCGAAGCACCATACAGATATCTTTTTACTTCAAAATAACTAACAGATTATTCTGCTTCTTGCATATATAATGTAGAAAATTACGAAAGTTTCTTATCACATGTTATTTTTTTACCTGTGATAATGCAAATCCTTATTCCTAAAACTTGATAAAAAGCAGTAAGGCGAGCAATTGACGTGTTGACATTTATATCTTCCTAGTTTTTTTAGTAGAATAAATACAACTTACCTATTTACATAAACAACTATAAGTAAAACATTGACACCAGCTTAAGGCCCATTATACATTACGACTACAATACAGTTTTTACTAAACACAATCGCTGATAGCTGTCTGAAAGCAACACTTTTTTTTTAAAAAAATGACAGCTAAACAAGATCTGTTTGTATGTGCCAGAACTTATCTATTCGATTATCTTTTGCTTAAATAGAATGATAAAGAAGAGTTATTTTATGTTAAAGCGCAGCTGTTGCCACGTGAGTCTTAGAAGATATATATGAACCATAATCTTTGTACGTATTTTCATATGACTAGCAATGGGTTTTATTCTTTCTAAAAACAGGTTACTATGGTCATACCGCCCCACCAATCACATGTCATGCTCGTGATATTCACGTGATCTTGCTTACGTAATTATTTATAAATATACTTTTTATTATACATTTATAAAGTTACTAAATTGTCAGAACCAATCCAGCCAATGAAATAGTTCCGGCACAACAGCCCGGTACCGAGAACTACTATGACGCAATGGAACTCACAAGACCCAAACGAAGGTTTAAACCAAAGGTCACGAAAGCAAGACCAAACAAGAAATCAAAACTATATGTCATAAGAACAAACAAGCAAAGCCATAAACTAATTTAGCATAAAACAATTACATACATATGAAACATCAATCAATTTAGATAGTATAAATAACCCCACATTATAATTAATAAATCTTTATCTTTTATCTCATACTTTATTTTGTACTTGTACTTTGAAGAGTACTCTTCTAGCCAATAGGAATAGGTTCACGTGATAGTCACGTGTTAGGTTATTACGTAAGGGTCAACTAGACATCTGAGGATTACAATTGGTAGCACCAGGCGTTCAAAGGGAAACAAGAATTAATATGGCTGAAAATCAAGAGGCTAAGGCGTCATACAATGACATGGCAGATTTGGTTAATAACTTGGCAAAACTGATGCGAGAAGTGAACAAGAACAAAAATATAAAAGCAAAGGAACCTGATGACTATTATGGTGACCGTGATGCTGTAAAAATCGATGGGTGGATATCTGCTGTTGAAAACTATGCTCGTGTTCAAGAAATGAAGGACGACGAAACTGGTACTTATGCTATAGGACTACTCAAAGACAAGGCTGACACTTGGTACCGAACGATTGAAAAACCAAGAGATGGCGAGGCTCCTCTTGGCTGGTTAGAACTAAAACGAGCTTTAGTCGATTTTTTCTGTCCTGAAAACTCCGAACTTATAGCAAGAGACAAAATTGCGAAGCTACAGCAAACAGGTGACTTGAACTCTTACATCAATACTTTTATGGATTATAAATTAGCTATCAAAAACATGACAGATGATGAGGCATGTGACAAATTCATGCGCGGATTGTCAAACGTAAACACTGCCGCTTACGTCCGACAATACTACGATGGTACCCTCAGAACTGCAGCTAAATCAGCACTTAC